CAAACAATAAATCAAAATTAACAATGCGGTTTGAATTTATTTTTATTCCTAGGAATTCAGTAAAACAATGCTTTCATTGTTCTTGCCCAGGGAAAAAATGAAATTTTTTAAAGGCAAAGATTTTTTGTGTTTATTTTGTTTCGAATGATGACACAAGGCGCTGTAAAACAAGATTTTATGGCGCATTGTTAGCGCCAATCACGCTGCGCGCATTTTTAATTCCACGCACACACACTCATTAGCATCGGCAAGTGCCGGCGAGAATTTGAAATTAATTGCGTGTCTTAAATTTTCTTGGTGGTGCCAGATGCATTTTGTATGTGGCTGGTGCTTCTGCCAGCAGAGTGTATGTTTACGTACACATTTTTATTCGAGGGAGCAGGCAGAGCCAGAGATTATTTTATATTGCCAGCGCGGGCAGGATATATCTCCTTATCAGCGCTTAAAATGCACGCAGAGGCACCAAACTTTATGGCCACTCGTAAATTTAGCTGTCACTCAAAAACGACCGGCGACACCTCCCATGGATTTGTGCTTCCTGTCGCATGCCTGAGAAAAATCTTTAAAAAAGTTGAATGCTTTATTGGCGTTTTGATTGGCATACATGAAAATGAATTAAATATTCATTAAACAAAACATTTAACAAATGTGTTTTTATTTATATAAACTTGTTTTCTTTTTTTCAAAAATATTTTAAATCTTACTGATTTACTTAAAAGATTACAATTTCTGCAACATTTCTTTTCAATTCAATTTATTAATTTTAATTGAATTTTTTCTCGCATTTTATTAATTTCGAATGTTGCATTAAAAAAATTACGAGTTATTAATGTAATGGTTTCAGTTGCTAAACTCATCCCCAGCAGTCAACTCACGTACAGAACTCAATTTTGCACGCTCCACGTGTTTCTTTTTTCCTCGTTATAACTTTGTCTTGCTTGAAGCGCACGTAACACTTATTGGCAGTCTTCAGAGACAATACCTCTCACAAAAATTTATTCGCGATGTGCCGATTAAAAAAAAAAAAAAAAAATACAGGCTCTCTAATGATTTCATTAGGTCGATCTCGCTGCGTTGCTTTTGTCGCTTCGACTCACTCGATTGAAATGCGAAAATCAAGCAAAGGAAACGAGAATTAAGTGTCGACGAGTAAAATACCGGGCGGCGCAGCTGCCGGACTATTTTTTACGTCCGATGACAGCCCTTTCTTATTCGTTTAAAGCGTGGCGGACAACCGCTCATTAAGATAATTTATCTTCTGTTTTGTTTCTAAATTGCTCTTCGCCCTTCTGCTCTTTGCTCCCTCTCCTAAAAGTAGCCTCACTTGAGAAAAAAAATATTTTTTTCTAAATTGTTTGATTTAATACAATATTTTTATTATAAAAATCTAATTGAATACAAAAATTTTTCTGTCCATTGAAGTAAAAATCCATGGCTCTTAAAATATTACGTCTGATTGTCTGCCTGAGATAAAAATGCACCCTTCAATAACATCACGTGACGAGCTCAGCATAATATAATTTACCTTTATAGAAACACACAAGACAAAAAATGATTATCTGCCCAGGCCTGACTCACTCGTTCGCTCGCTCGCCCAAGCATCGCATTCTCGCCGTCAAATTAAGCAGGGCCCGTTTTTTTAGCAGTCAATCAACAATCTAAGCAGACCAAAACACACAATGAACAGCCCCTGGCGATCCATTCTATAAGCGCCTTTTTATATTTCCTCTGCAGTCTCTCCTCGCCGCTAATTTCTGCCCATTTGTTATTGAGGTTAATTCAGGGCGTGGACTTCATAAGTTTGACCCTTGATCTGCCTGCGGCTTGGCGTGCAAAATTAAATTTTCCTGCAAACGTTGCCTCAGATTTTTTTTTCCAATTTTGTCGGAATTAATAATTTAACTTATTTTGTTCTCTGCTTTCTGGTCTATTTGCAAATAAATTGTGACTATAATTTTTATATTAATTTTTTGATACATATTTTAAAATTATTTGTCTATCAAACACAACAAATGGGATAAAAATAACAAATTACTTTATCTTTTCCGTGAATCGCTGGTACATATTTTCAAATAATAATTACGCTGGGCCTGGCAATTTCATTTTGTAATTGAGCGTCTCTCCCAGAAACAACTTATGAGCTTCGCCGGCCGTTAAATCAGGTCTCGTTAACCAACAGCAATTTAAGGTACTTCATCTGGAGGGCTGTGTGTTTTGCGCCAAAATCTCCTGCACGCTGCATGTTGTAGTCGTGGAACGAAACAAGTTAATAAATTTTAATAAAATGATAAAATCGCTAAATTGGAAGACAAGTCAAGGATACTCTCTCTCTTCTCTCAGCTCCGCCGAGGAAATTATTTTTCTTTCTTTTTCAAGGTGCCCAGCAGACTTGTTGCAAACTCACCCGTCTTGCTGTTTCTCTCCAAGATTTTTGCGCCGGATTCAATTAATTAGGCGAAAATATACACCGTAAATGTCACCTCGCTCGGCGACTAATTAAAGAACTGAGCCACTTGATACTGACTTGCGCCGAATTTATAGCCCAGTTAAATTTTAATACATGTGCCCGGGTTAAAAAAATTCAGCAACTTTTTTACGTCCTTATCGTCTGATTTTATGGCGCTGTAAAATAAAGAAACGCTATATTATTTCTTATTTTGAAATTTTTAGCCCTCAAACACAACGTTCAAAACTTATATTTTTAAATTTTTTTATTGCAATTCGCAAACAGGAAAAACAAGCTTATCGCTGGAAACAGTTTCCTGTTTTTATTTATATTTCAATTCTCGTTTCTCTCAAATTTAATTTAATTCAGTTAATTAGAAACGCTCGGCACTCTCCAAGTTGAGTCTCGCTCGAGCAAAAAGCGTCGTCGCAGCTCGTTCGTTTTCTGCCGCCGCTCTCGCATGAATTATCGACCTGGCAGCGGCATTTATATTTTTAACTAGCTGCACATTTCGCACACAGATGCTCTGTCAAATCGTAGGCCATAAATTACAACGAAATAAAATCCTCGCGCAGGCTGTACCGCCGCCGGATCTGCCGCCGCGCTTCTTCAATTTTTCATACAAGCGGATGTGGCTCATGTTTTCTTGACAAAATATGCAGGCTTTTTGTCTTGTGTCGAGTTGATATTACTTCAAAATTTTGATAGTGCCACTTCCCCGTGAACTTTTTATTCTTTAAAAATACAATTAAATTCTTAATCTTTAAAATCTTTAAATATTAAAATTGAAGTTTTGCTTTTCCTCGTAACTTATATGAATACAAATGTTGACAGAATTTTTATTTAAAAATTGAAATTATAAATTATCTAATTGCATGATTAAAGTTTATATTTTAATTTTCATAGTTGCGAGTTTGATATTTTTTTCCATCCCGCACCCCCATAGCATCCTGTGTCTTCCACACGTGTGATGAGAGAGAGTTCCCTTTTGCTGCCGAATATTGTGGGAGCTTCGTTGTTGATGCAGACGAGCCGAATTTATTATCAGCAGCTTATCATGCGAGATGTTGCTGCCGCGCCAGTTGTTATCAGGGGCAGAAAAAACGGCACCCGGCGCTGTGTACTCTTCTCTTCAGTAGCACAATTACTGCGCGACAACTGCTGATAACAAAACGGATTGCTCATAAAGAAGCACCAAGCAGTTTGTAATTAAACAACCGATTATCAGGTCTTGAGGCGTCAGAATTTTTCTGAAAAATGTTGACAAAAGTAATAATCTTTATTGCAGTGGTAGGGAATTTTATTAATATTAAAAAAAAAAATATGTAGCAGTCATGGCGGTAATAGAAATAACCGGAAATGGCAAAACGTCTTCAGCTATAATTTTTATTAAAATCCTAATTTCCTGATCATTTTTCAAAACAGTGTCTTGCAAAATGATTCGATTTAAACATTTATCTGTAATCCTTTCTTCAGAAAATTTTCAAGAAATTACTAAAGATTCAAAGTATTTAAGTTTTTTCTTATTCTTTTTGACACGCCTATAAATTATCGCAATTAAATAGCTTTATTCACAGAAGCCCCATTCGGTTTCGCTGGTTGCTCTTTGTCGGTCGTTGTCATTGTATGCAAAACGAACGCCTTTCCTGCAGCTCTCCTCAGCAGTCGTCTCTTTCTTTCTCTTTTCCTCCGAAAACAGAAGTTGCTGAGGCCGGCTTGCATTTTTAATTTGGCCCATTTGAATATAATGCCCGGCTCCATTGGCGGCCGCGAACACATACAGAGAAAAAGAATGAACCAAGTCGTCGGGCAACTTCAAAGGCTTCGTTTATCAGTCGAGAAATAAGGCTGCGTGCCTATTGGCCCACGTCTCGATCCTCATAATTTATGTTAACAAGCTGACAACTCGTAGCCGACACAATATTTTACTCCAAATGAATTTATGCGCAAGCAAAAACAATCGCCTCATTTGAATAATTCTAAATAAATTTTATGCAGATTGACAGTGAAATTTTACTTGCACGAACAAACAGAACAAATATTAAAATAAAAAATTAAATTTTTTTAAATAAAATTTCTATTAACTAAAGCAATATTTTTCGTGAGATCCGTCTTGCCTAGTTGGGTCTAACTAAGTAAGAGGAGGATGTCACAATATTGAATGTGCCATTAAAAGTAACAACAACGATCTGAGCGTTTGATTGTGTTCCTTTTTCTTATTGTATTCTTACCCTGTGCGGCCAAGGTTAAACGGAATGAAAAACAGCATCTCAGTCAGCACTTGGCTGTGATTGTGAACAGGAGAGAGAGACGGGAAAGAAAACGAATGAGCTGTGCTAGAGGAGGAGATGATTGCTGTTAAATTAAACTCTTGACAGGCGCTTTCAGACGAAAGTTAATTATATTCAAACGCCCTATGTCACGCGTCGACAGGATTTTGGCCGATTGATTAGAATTTGCTAAAAAAAAGAACCAAACTGAAACTCATGATTGATTATTTATTTTATATCCTAGTTGAGATGAAATTTTAAATATTTTTCTTTTGATTTTCCAGGTTTTGGGTTCGTGTATTCCTCAGACGAGTGGTCCAGTTGCCATGGTCACTGAGCTGGGCGAGCCTCTGGACACTGTTCGTCTCCTGCAGCTTGCGTGGGAGGACAGATTGAGGGTAAATTTTAAATGAAAAACTTTTGTTAAGAGAAAAAAAAATAATAAACATTTTTCAGTTGGTGCTTGGCATGGCCAAAATTCTACACCTCCTCGCCCACTCTCCTCTTGGATCTCTAGCTATGAACGACTTTCGTCGACAGCAATTTGTGATAGTGGACGGTATCCTCAAACTCTCAGATGTAGATGACATAGGTAACAATGTTTTCTTTTTCTTTTTTAAAAATTTGAAAGTTCTTCAAATAAATGATTGATTTTTTTATAATTTTTACTAAAATTTATTTTGAAATTTTAATTAATCAGGTCTGGAGGAGCCATCGTGTGAGACGCGCACAGACTGCATCCAAGTGCTGCCACTGCAGCTGCGCAACACATCAGAGACATGGTGCTCACCAGAGACCAAGCGCTGTGTCGGCCACAATGAGCGCCTCAACATTTGGCGCGCTGGCAAACACTTCATCCACCAGTTCCTGCCGCTAGGCGCTCCGGCCGGACTGCGGCCGCTCATCCTCGGCCTTCTCAAGGGCTACCGTGAAGCGTCGTGGAGCTCTGCAAAAATCCTCTCTGAGACCGAGAGCCTCGTCCACATTTTCTCATCAGGACAGTATCTTGAGTCAAACGAGGTCGTCAACATGGACATAAATTCTCTGCCAGGTAAAAATTTATCAAAACACTTAGTAACTAATTTTTTTAATAATCCTACTATCGTTTTCAGGCTTTACAATTTTAGAAGGGAAGGACCTCCCTGGCCAATTTGACTACCCCTGTCCGGAGTCGCGATCTGCCGTCAACTGCATTCGCTCGGTGCACAGCCTCCAAGAGGCAGCCGACTTGTGTTCAGCTGACTATAAATGCAAAGCTTTTGTGATTGGCCATGCAAGAACCTGGACAGGTGTGAATTTTTGTCATTTTTCAATTTGTGATACGACTTTTAAATTCTCTAAATAGACAATTTACTTATTACTATTTAATTTTCAGGCAGAGTATTGGCCATCTTTAAGTCAGGAGTTGGACCACCAACGCCAACCAGAGGTCACAAGCTGATATTCAGACGAGATGGTCTGCATTGAAAACCCTTTTTAGTCTCCTTTCCACGCCTGGCTGTGATTTGTTCATTTTAATTTCTCGTTGAGGACCAAAGACTTTAATTTATATTTAAATTGAAAATTGATGTTGCTTAATTATAAGATTTAATTTATTGATAATAAACATTCGGCAAGGAAATTAACATCCTTTGCAAATAATGACATCAGCTTTTGTTATTTATCCGTAAACGCATTTATTTTTTAGTGAAAAGCACGGTTTCTCATTTTTTTAAAACATTTTCTTCAAATATGAACCACTGAATTAGGAATGTTACATTAAAAATGATTATTTACTCTTTCATACATGGTGTATACTGGAAAATAACAAAACTAAAAGGAAACGCAGTGACTTGTGCTTCTCGGTATACACTTAAATCTATCAGTAGAGTCGGATCCCGAATGGGCACAAAACATGTTTTCACTATTTCTACACTCGTCATCGGCAGTCTCGTATCACAGTAAAACCAAGTAGGCTGTGGTGTCTCTCCTAGGTGGCAAACTCAAGCTGTGTGCGATATCACCAACCAAGAGATGAATGCGTAAAACAAGAAAATAGGGTAGACGGCCAGCGCTTTCCTGTCACCAGGTTGACTATCACCGAGGAAAACAATGGAGGCTGCAAATATTAAATTTACGATGAAATTAGAAAGAATAATATGGTTAAAAATAAAAATTACCGTAAGTTGCCCATCCAAATCCTGCAAGAGTGGCAAACAATCGCAAAACAAACAGTAGAGTTGTTTGAGTTGCCAATAGAATGATTCGACAGACTATCAAGGCAAGTGCAGTTGGAAGCAAACAGTAACCAAGCACACAGACACTTTGAAAGAAGGAACTGAAAAGATGAATTAAGATTTTAAGTTTGATCGAATTAAATTTTTTGCATAGAATTACATATTTCCTCCGAGCAGTTTTGAGTTAAGAGTAACGACCATAGCTCCTATCCACACAATGACAAACACCTCCGCAAATTCTGGTCCTCCATCGCTTTCCACAACATCATCTGCTGAGCCTTGCAGAACCCTGGAAATTGTGATTTAATCACAATTAATTGAAGAGGCAGAGATTATAGAAAACAAATTATATATAATAATAATTTAAACTATCTAATATAATAAAAGTAGATAAAAATATGCTACACTTAAATACGACTTTGTTAATAGCCAAGATAAAATCTGTAGGTATTTCTAATTTCATACAGTATGAACGAACGTACCTAGTTTGTCCTCTTAGTAAACAAAATAAAATAAATTTAATACATAAATAAAATAATTAAAGAAATTATTAACCTATGTGATATCAAAACTTACATGGCCATGAAAGTACAAAGCAGCAATGGCCCCCAAAGGTCCCCTATTTAAATAAAGCAAGTTACAAATTAAAACTTGGGACAAATAAATTGTTCTCACAATCTTTCAAGAGACTACTTTTCTTCTCTTTTGGGTACAGCACACTTTGGAATTTGACACCCACTGCTTTCAAGTCTCTCATCTGAAAATGTATTTCTTTATGATAAAAAATAACTTGTTGCGCGTTTTTTTGACGTGCCACTGTGGTCTTGATGGGCTCGTCTAAAGTGTTGAATTCCAGTTTGCCCTCGGCCCGACCGGTGCCTGCGTTGGGCACACTCATGTCACCCTCGAGCGTATCTGGCAATCGCTCCTCATCACTGTACAACTGCAAAAAGAATTAATTTAGTGTAAATATTACAAAAATTCGGTTCTGTGAATAAATTTTCTTAAATGCTTACGTCAAGGGTGGTGCTGTTCATGGTGTTGATAACGAAGAACTGTCACAAAAGGACGAGGAATCAGACTGTGTATTAAGCCTGTACAGTATGTTGAAAAGAGCCGAACTCAAGTTATAGCTGAGGCAGAGCTGATGTTTTCTTGATTCCACAAAGTTACACTTGCATTAAATCGCAGTCCTTGCCTTTTCAATAGCTAAAACTTTTTTATTTGGGACTTACAATTAGGAGAACAAAAATTGCTGATGACGACCAGATGACGACTTGTGTTGTTATTTCAGCTTCCAGCGTTGGCCACAAGGGGGCAATACTATACTTCTTGCTGAGCAGTGTCTTTTCGTGGACGCGGCAAAATGTGTTGTGCAGTACGAGTGCTCTGCATCTTGCGATTGCTGACGAGACGACAGTAGTGATTACAGTACAGTGAAGACTTTTCTTCACAATTAATTAAGTCATCAAACACAAAAAAAAAATGACTAACAATTTATCAGCTCTGGCATAATATTAAAGCCCAAACTCAAGAGCAAAAGAGCGACAAATATTGAAAAATGTATGTTAAACGCTTCTGTGTATAGTACAGGAAACAAAATTATGAACGTTGTATACTAATAATTATTATTCCGTATTATTCTTTAATCACAACGCGTTAGAATACATATAATCATACAACTACATATCAGTTTTGCATTTGTAATTTTATTTTTCTAGTGCAAAACAAAATGATTTTACAATTATCTGACAAAGTAGTGAATAACTGAATAGGTATTTAGTGTACACAAGAAAGTATCAAAGTGCAATAATTAATCGTACTGCAAGTAATAAATGAATAAATATATCGAAATATATTTAATTTTGCTGCTGCAGTCTAGTCTAATGAAGAGTGATGTAGTGTATAATACCGTATATCAATCAACACACAGTACAATCCATAAATATTTGTGGCATTTTTTGCTTTACAATCCCATCATTTTAAAGAGTACACCTTACATTTTATGTCAAGTATTTTTTCAAATATAAGATTAATTTATAATGAAAATTAAATTCAGATTCTTAAATCTCATAAATAGGAATTTGCTATCCTTAACAGGAAAAATTATTAAACAATTTTTAATAACTTTGTATTTCAACATAGAAAATGTATGTTATATTAAAATAAATATTTAAATTTTTGGCAAGTATAAATCAGAAAAACACACAAGGTGCAAGGTGTATTCTTCATTAAATTTCATCATAGCGATGACCTTACCCTGACCTTACTAAGACAGTATAATTGCATAAAGCTTTGAATTTATCTAGAAACCAGTAAAGAGAAATTTGTGCAATTGGATTTTAATACTAAATGGAATTAGTATTTTTAATCTGCATGTGTTCTAAAAAAAAGTTAGCTTATGTGCATGTGTTGTTTTAAATATATATCCTTCCTATTGGTGAATCCAAAGATGTATCAAAATGTTTCCTCATCTGTGAATCAACCTCTTTTCTATAGTATCTACCTCTAGTTGTTTTCTTTCAACATCTCATTCCAGGAGTTAGACAGCAAGTAGTGAGTGAGCTCCCTGGACGAATTCACTTCCTCAAGCGGGAACCGCTTGTTTATCTTGTACTCCATAGCGTGCAAGCTCAGGTTGAACACAGTTGTACGCAGGAACTTCATCAGACCAGGGTGCAGCTCAATCCCACCCGAGTAGGTGAAGCATCGACGCCGAATGGTTTCAGCCAGCAGTTGGGTGTTGGCAATTGACAGAAGCTGCATGTAGTTGGTGATGTCAGGCCGAAGAGTCTTCACCAAGGCAAAAAAATTGGCCAATTGCATGGCGGTTTCAGCCATGTCTTTCTCCGACTTATTTGGATTATTCGTCAGCATGGTTGTAAGGAAATCCTCAGTCAATTCATCTCTCATCAAGAAGTCCATCTGACCCTTAGAAAGCTGATTCTGCTGGAGGATCCTTATCAGGTTTTCTTTTTGAGCCCTGAATCCAACGAAAATATTAATACATACATATTTTTTTTTCATAACCATAATTAAAAGATACCTTTTCTGCTTTCTTGTGTTCAAATACGCCTGCCATTTGATGCCTATGCAAGTGAGCTTTCTGTGTGAGCTCAGGGAGGATTTGCAGAGCACCATTCGACAATCCTTGCATCGTACCAATTGAACCAAATTCTGCCCTCCGAAAGACAATCTCCCAGGAATGATGTATCCTGATTGTGAGTGCAGGACTGGCAAGTTGTTGTGCACATCGTTGCCTTTGTGCTGCAAATATTTCCAAGCAGAGAAAACTCCATTTGTTTCCATTTCAGAAGCCAGCTGCACTTCTTCCTCTTTGATGTGTTCTTCCATGTAGTGCCTCTTATAGTTGGCGGTTAGCTTCTTGCAGAACAGGCAGTAGTCTTTGCGACGTTCTTTGCCCAAGACTTGGCTGCACAGCACCTTGACAGGTCCTTTGTAGTCATAGGCAGACACTTGGTCCTCAGGAATTTGCATTTTTGATTTGCCTGTAAATTCCACTTATGAGAGAAATATAATATATTATTTTGAATTATCCTTCAAAAATTTCTCATATTGCATGATAAATATTATTACCTTCTGATTTGAATGATTTCTTTTGAGCAGGCTGGCCTGTTTTGAGATGCACCTAAAATGCAGATAAAGGGAAAGTTTTAAATGCTAGGTATGCCATTGCAAAATAAAAATTATTCTACAGTATCCGCAGCATCATTAAAACACATTTTCTCCAAAGTGTAAATGATAATGTATATTGTTTATTGGAAAAATAATATGGGTCAATAGAATATAACTTTCTTCATCAGGGGAGTTTTACACAATAAACTATAGTTTAATTAGGTTGATAATATCAGACTAATATTAGTTACGTTTCTGGGAGTAAAGTGTAGTTAAATTAATATAAATAAATGAAAATATTTCAAATCATTAATACTAACCACTTCAATCTCGGCATCCTCAGCATTTTGAGGTGACAAAAAAGGAGTGTCATCATTGCCAACCTGTAAATTCCCACTGGTTTGTTTGGGTGTCAACGAGCGACGACGCCTGATTGGCGATGGGGACTGAGAATGGGTGCAAGTGCAGCACCTGCAGTGGCCAGATCCTCGTTGACGAGGGCGAGACTTTCTATCTTGAATCTCTCCTGCAGATTAATATATGTTAAAATTAGAGAGATAATAACTGAAATATGGTTGCTAAGTAAAAAAACCTTTTTGGAACATCTGCTGATTCAGATACTCTGAGAAGTTGGGCACTGCAGCCTGAAATTTTAAATATGAATTAATTAAATGTGCACGTACGATTTTTTAGTGACATCAAAAATTGTGCATAAATTCAGCTTCGCGTCTTTAAAATTATACCATACACGGCGATAACAAAAGAGACATTCAAGAACAATATAATTATTACCAGATGGCCTGAAGCTCTCTTTGGGGTTGAGGAAGTCCCTAAAGCAATCAATTTTGCAGGCTGCTCTCCTCCCACTGCAATATTTTCCTGATTGCTGAAAAATGAACAACCAAATGCAATAATTTTAATTTTGGTAAGACTTTTTGGTGCATGAGTTAGCAAGATGCACATTTTAAATTAAAATAACTGAATAATTATGACATAATTGTAAATACCTGCTCATGACGTCATCTTCAAACTTGGCCATTTTTTCATCTACCTCAATTTTGTGCACAAGCTGCTCATTTTGCACCTGCTTTTGAGGAGATATTTCTCGTCGCCTCTTTGCAGGCAACTCAATCAGTTCAACACCCAAATCCATTTCCACCAAGGAAACGCTGTGAAAATGAAAAAAAAAATAGTGTAGAAATACATTATATATTATTATAAAATTATGCTATGATTGAAATCAAAATAGAATTTGCAGTGATGGTAAGTTTTAAAATGGGGGGAAAATGCTTGGTCAATCATACATAATTTACAGCTGTGGTCCAACGTGTCATACTCATTTTAGTTACACATTTTATATTTTAAAATGTTAAAAATAATGCAAAAATAGTATCGGATCAAGTTGAAGATATTTAGATTCCATTTACGAAAGCTTATTTCTTTCTGCTTCTCATGCTACATAATATATATTTTTTGCATTAACACGGAATTATACATCACAGATTATCGATAATACTGTAAAAACTACAAAACATGATGAAAATGTACATCACGTTTATGCAAACAAAACAGAATCAATTATGTATGTAAATTTTGATGTGCGTCCAATCAATCCTTGTGCAATACCCATCATAAATGAGAGCATAAAATGCAAAATGCCGCAAAATGCATAATTATTGATGTGTGTAATAACTGTAATAAACAAAACGTTTACAAAATATTTCAAGTGCAAACACTGCAAACGGCTGTTCAACGATTTACAGATTTATGTACAAAATAATACATCAATATTCAGCAATATTCAGGGGAAAAAAGACATAGCATAAATATGTAATGTATTAAGTACATAATCAAAATCATGCAAAGGGAAAGATCAGTCACTCACTGTACGCAAAAAAACGCTTACAAAATTCAGTTCGCGCTGTTACTAGCTCTTGAATGACTGACCTGACGCGTCACGCGACTAGCAACTAATGCTACAATCGACAATTGCGACCGACTCACTATCTCATCCAAATCCGCAGAAGTAAGAAACCTGAGTGAGAGAAGGTCCTGCTCGTCTCTGCGCAAGAAACAGAGGCAACCAGAGAGAGATTTCGAATTTTTGCTGTTATTGGTTGTTCGGCTTGCTGCGATTGCTGACGCTTGTTGCCAGCTTTCCAGTATAAATGAACGAAAGGAAAAAGTATTCTCAAATTCCACAAGCGTCCACCAGAAGACGGAATGCGGCACCAGAAGCAGAAACCAGCCAATCACCCCGCTGCTGCAAAATCCCATCCATCCCCTCACCCAAGCTAAGACTTGTCAAGGCCGTCAGGCGCTGCAGTTGCAGTTCAGCCAAGTATGTACTTGTTTTCTTTTAACAACCTCTTATTTACTCAATTTGTGAATGCGGGGGTAGAAAAAGTGCACGAAACAGAGACAAATACAGAATACAGACGTCACGGACAATGTCTGACGGCCGCGGGCCGACAGATGAAGACAAGCTCAGACAAACGACAAGCACGAACCTGCAGTCACTCTGAGTCAGCCTAGCCTGGCAAAGGAGAGAAGGGAACAAAGAAGAGCCAAAGACAAACGTAAATTTATTTCTCAGATATGTACATAAGTACATAATTGTTAAGATGCGTGTGTTTTTCTGTTCTGATTAGTGTAGAGTAGTGTCTTTGTAAAAACCTCATAAAAAGTAAAAATTTATTTATTCTTCATGTTTTTATGCAATCTTTTTTATAGCCCCTGATAATATATTTATTCATTTGTATCTTTCTATTTTTAAGCTCGCCCAGCCGTTTCTACAAGACATTCTCCTTCGCATTTTGGCAGTTCGTGACTAAAGTCGCGAAAGAAAGTAAACAAGACCAGAACCGCAGAAACTTTCGCCAACTGACTCAACTAATAGTAAGTGACAAAATATTCTTAATTACAAAAAATTTATTTAGAATAGAAGATAGGTTGATATTTTAGAATCAAACAAGTTAAAATTACAATATAAATAGTACAATATATTATTCAACTAGTTTTACATAGAAATCACCGATAATCACAACACAATTAAGCTATAAATTACTAGTACTGCAAAATACTGCATGTATGCAATGCGCATTGCACATGAAAAACACTGAACGCATAATTATACCAAGACAGTACCTGGACAATACAATATTATATTTATTTGGAATGTTTTTTTTTTGCATCTGCATAACAACTATACCAAGTAATTTTAGAAGCAGTACAATATTATTGCACAAACGCCGCAAACATGTATTTTTTTTAACTTAAAATTTATTGACGGAATAATAATAAAATCCTGATAATATTTTATTGAATACTTATTTTGCAATGCACACATTTAAATTTCTTCCACAGTTGAATTACGCGTTACAAAAACAGAAAAAAAGTACTATATAGGTCAATTTGTTTTACAAGTTGTGCATAATGATAATGAGAGTAAAAACCACTTCAACATTTTTTAATAAAATTACAAGTAGAAGAAAATAATTATTATCCATATATATAAGTTAAATAAAAGATATTATAATAATGAAAGTATCACAACAATTATTTAATAAAATTAAAATTTAAAAATTTCTTTCCGAGTAGTTCTGAGCATGAATGTGGGTTCAATTGGCACATTCTTAAGTCCAACGGCGTAATTATTATGGAAAAGTGGAGCAATTCTCTGCAGAATCAGATTATTATTATTTTTTCTTAATCATTTGACTAGTTTAATTTATCCCAAAAGGGACTAATATCAGAGAGATCAGTTTTTTTATCATGTAGAGGAAAATGGGCTCACAAAAATAGGGGCCATGGACGACTTTTCATTTATTTACTTTTTTGTAATTTGTTGCTTAATGGAAGGTTCTTTTTAAATAGCAGTTTAACCGTTCAACATCAAAATTTTTAACCTGCATGGGTCATTCCAATTAATTTAATTGCTGTGGGAAATGTTTCATGTGGACTAGTTTATCATGTATTGTAAATCTTGGTCGCCATGCAATCCATACTTTTAATGGACCAATTTCATAATTCATCTATATTTTCGATATTTTCCAAAAGTATATTTTTTCCCTATAGACTATCAGGCTGTTTTGTGTTATAGTTTGTAAAGCACATGTCTCTAAAATTTCCCAGGACATACCCCTTTGCTGGGAAATTACATATAAATTAGAAAAATGAAATTATTATGCGCGGAGGTTTCATTCCTTTTTGTGACAAAATTACTTGAGATATGAATTTTTCACCACATTTTCCTTATAATTCTATAAGATTTGGCTATGGGAACGTTTTTAACGTTGCTAAGCACGACTTTTTTCATCACAAAAGGGTTATTAAATACAACTCGGACGGGAAGGGATCATCGTCGATATACATAATAGTTGTCTAATTTTCAACGTGATTTCTCTGAGAACTTTTTGAAATTGAGTTGGACAATCGTTTCAACAAAAGCGCATCCGTCAACTCCGACAAAATCAGCGATCGCAACGTTGATCCCTCCAGTGCCAGCCGATTGCCGTCCGAGCCATGGGACGACGGCCTGGTTGCACTTTCGGACGAGACCCCTGCGCAGATTCGAGCACATGCCGGCGGGAACGACGGTGGTGGTGCGCGGGGTCAACACGCACTGGGAAACGTGACCCCGACGCTTGTCGCGCGCGACCAGCCCGCGTTCCAGAAAGCCGATGAGGGCGCGGGGCTCGCGAACGTTGGGCCATGGCGAAGGCAGGGCTTCGCCAGGCCACAAACCAGGGGCGCCTTGGAAGTCGTCCGTTCGGTACACAAGCACTATTTGATGGCCAAGCGCCTGAAAAGGAAAGATTTTGCATGTCTAAATTAAAGAAATTTCTAAAGTCAAAATAATGATCAAGTTTTGATTTTGCTATACTTTTCACTGTCGGTTTGAAAATTTGATTGATAAAATTGAGAAGCGTTTTTTTCCCCAATAAACCACTTTAAATTATTGTTTTATTATTTTTATTATTTTTATAATTTTTATAATAAATGCAATTTATAATTATTATATAATTATTCTTCTGACTAAAGAAAAAAGTTTGAAAATGGAACAAGAAAAGGAAACAAGAAGCATATTTGAATTTTACATGAAAAACAAAAGCACAAAAGCTTCCCTCAAATTGACATTGATTTGTTATAGGCGGTATAGCCCATATTAATTGAAAAACTATATTTATCATAAACTACTATTGAAATACGAAAGGTGTGATGAATACACTATAACATACATCAATTTATTTCAGATGTTTAAAAAAAAATATTAAAATGCTTCCACCTCAATTACGACTAAAAATTTGATTAAACTGTAAAATTAACTTTTGCTTCATTTAAGTCTCATAATTACTTTTTTAATAATTTGATGATGTAAAAGTGATTTTTATCAATGCTATTTTTATTTTTGAAGTCCAGCAAGTCCAATATAAATGAAAACTACTATTATTTTGCAGCTATTTTTTAATACCTGCATCCATCGAAGAGTAATTTCTTCAGGGGCGCCGGGCCAGTATGGGCAGAGGCGCGAGCCAAAGAGCCCTTGCATGTGCTTAATAAATTGAGTATGATCGTCCGAGGTGAAATTGTAAAAGTGCTGGAAATCTAAGACGACGACCTCTTGGTCGAACGCGCTGAGAAATGCGTCCACCTCTGCCAAGAGGGGGCCGATTTCGGTTCCGCAAAGGTGGTGAACGACCAGCGGTTGCGAGTTTCTGTCTCTGCCGTCCACGGGCATGGCCACTCTCAGGTCCAGGTAGCGAATGCCGTGACGCAATTGATCGCTGATTTTCAATCGCTGCGTTACACTCCAGTTGTAGAGGATGGACCGCGTCACCGCGCCGAACATTTTCTCCATCTTTCGCACGGCTGTCGGACAGTCCGGCGCCAATGGGGCGCTGGCGCTTATCGTGTAACTCAGAGAGTCGTGGGTGCCTGCGAAAAAGGATGAGCAAAATGACTAAAATTATTTCGGTTTTGTAATTTTTTTAAATTATTCTAAGAGAAGATTGGATTTTTTACTTAAAATTATGGTACTTTGGCCTAATATAAAAGTATTTTTTCCAGCAAATTTTGAAATAATCGAGGCTAAAAAAATCTCAAATCTTATATGGAACAATAAGAATTAAAAATTTAACCCTCATTCCATAATTAATTAAATTAATAATGAAAAATATAGCCCATTTTAATATTAACCGTTGGAATTATAAGGCTTGATATACTTTAAATATTTTGAGAATATTAAAAAAAAAAACTTTCTTCTGTAAAATTTAGAAAATTACTCAAAACCCTTGAAAAGCTTTTCTGCACATGATTTTAAATATATATTTCAACAGATTTGTTTTTAAATTACAGCAACAATGAGGAGGAATAGCAGTTTTACTTAAATAATAATAAATTTATTATTAATAATGCTAAATTAAAATTTTATTGTACCAATTTAACTCGTCTGGAATATTCTGCATGAAAAACGCCTAAGTTGGCAATGTTTTAAATTATTGTTCAATTTTTTCATATAATGAAATAAGATCAGTTTTAACAAATATTTATTTTATTGTTGAGTCTCAAAAGTACTAATCTCAAAGCACTTATCAGCTGATTAGTCTAGGACTTCGGTTTAAGACAGGGCTCATTTAGTATAGCTTGGGGTAAAATCACATCCGGTGTGTTAAATCTAATCTACATTTTATAGTTGGTAGATTTTATTAAATTACCTGGAATTGCGAGCCTAAAAAAGGGCACATCTTTGGCCTTATCAGGAAGTCGACCCATCCATTCCCCAGCCATAGTCACGGCTTCCTCAGGCCGAGTTGAAGAAGTGCGTCCTTGAGGACGATGCTAGCTAGATAACTAAAAATATTATACGCCCCTTCGACGAGGGTGTGCAAGACGGCACAGTAGGGCCAACAGCTGCGTGTGTGCTAATCTAATTTGATGTGTATGTACCGCAAATTATATGATGTTTTACCAAATAAGGCTAGAAAGATTTTCTAGAACTTTTATAAACTTGGAAATTTATTTTAATTCACAGAACAGCATAATCACCTTATTAATAAAAAAATAACAATATTAATATTACGGTTCTAATTGAACTAGTTCTCTACATGAAAAATTTGAATTGTTATATTTATCACAGCATCTCCTGGGAAGGCATTTGCACGTAGCTACGCACTCGAGCGAAATTGAACGCAGGAAACTGATTTTGGTTTAAGTCAAGCTCGCACACCGATTTCTGCCCTGAGAGATATGTTGTCTCAATGCTATAACGTGACCATATCAGTTTTTGACCGGCAATTTCCAATTCCTGAGGAAAAAATGTTTTATCAAAAATTCATAAAAAATCTGTCATAAGTTATACCAATAAGTATTTTCTGAATCCCGAATCATGCGGTGGAGGCCCTCGTCTTCTGATTTCCACCCTCGGCTTAAGACGGGGCGCCTCAGTTAGTTCTGCGGTCAATCTTGTGCCATTTACTTTGTAGTGTCCTCTCAAAACCTGGGGATGAGCCACTCGTCTTGTTCTCAGATAGCCCACACTCACTTTGGGCAACTCTGCCGAAGTGAGCATGAAGGCAAGACCACCAGTGAAAAACCTGACCAGTCTGAAATACTGCACTGTGTGCCAAGGCAGGTATTCCGAGGTTTGGAAACTGAAAATTTTTACTCAGCTATTCAAATTTAAAACTTTCTTAGAAAAATTACCTCAACTCTCCAGGTCGCGCATAAGTAACTCGGGCAATATAGCAGCCGTCGACCCTGACCCTGGGCCGGCGGTCAAACTCAACACGCCATTTTCTTCGACCCTCTACGGCACATCCCCACTGTCTCTTGCAAATAAGGCGCCACAACTCATTGTCATGAGCGGCCAAGTAAAATCCACGGCAAACTTCGGAAAATCGGGCCCAGGAGCGAAAGTCAAGTTCCGATGACACAATCCATCGGAGCAAAAGCAGGATAAGTTCAGGAGGCAACCGACTTATATGGGTGCCCTGAAATACATATTATTTTTTTAAATATTTAACAAGAAGCTATTGAAAAACTTGAATAACCTCTGGATTTGTGTTGGGAAGGGCGACTGTTCCTTGCTGGGAAATTATTTGGGAAAATTTTGCAGGCAAATCTTCAAATACGACCTCCTCGGCTTGCTTATTTGCATTGTCATCAACTCCTTTTTCCTTTCTGTTTGTGGTTGTCACTGTAGAAAAACAATTTAAAATTTTAATAAGTATTAATAATGAATTTTTGTAACAATAATATACCTGTTTTTTGGGACAGTTCATGAACACGTTGTTCCACGTCAGGGACAAGCTGCACAGCTTTGCGGTAAAAAATGACTGCGTCCCTCAACTGTCCTTCCTCCTCAAGGGCAGAACCCTTTAAAAACAGCCGCATTGCCTAAGAGAATTATTGAAAATTATTTATATAGGATTATGTAATAATGCTCTAATTTAAAATATTGAGTTGTTATCATCCGCAATATTGTATAATTTTTCTGAATACACACCCTCGTAAGGTCAGCGGCCAACTCTTCACTGACTCCCGCGTCCATTGCCTTTATCGTTTCACAAAATTAGGCACTCCTCCTGAATTAAAACATTTTATCGAATTAAACTGAGAGAATTATATTAATTTCTCTTGAGGCTGATAAATCTGGATGCCATTATTTTTGTTATTGTTGCCAGTGCTGCCAGCTTTGAGTCCCTTCTGGTAGTAATATTTCTATGGATTTAGCGGGATGGACCAAATCAAAAAGCCACACGACACCGCTATGTGCAAAGAGGTGTGTTGTGTGCAATTGCAATTGTAAAAGAAAAAATTAAAAAGTCATTTATGAATTTTTTAGAAATTGAGCTGAATTCCTAATTTGTCTGATATGAAATAATATATTGTCATTAAATCTCCTGCATTGCCAATGTGCCTTCTAATTTAATTAGTAAACAAAAAAAGATGGCACTCCAATGATCATGACAATTTTATTTATCAACATCTTGTCTCATTCAGTCAGATGAGGTTGTAATGGTGTTTTATTAGTTATCCAATAAAATCTAGATTTGTTTTACTATACAAATCAATACTAATATAACATAAAACAGAAAAAAGGAGTCAAAACAAAAGCACATTTATTATTTTTTTTTGTAGCATTTTGCTTTTTATTTAAATAAATAAAAACCATTTGTGGCCAGTACATTAAAAAACTTCTCCTAAACTTTGTATTTTATCGCATTTGTTCATCAGAGGGATGAAAATTGAGATCAGCCAGAAGTTGTAATTTCCTCGGAAATAGTTTTAATAGCTGCAAATGCCTCTCTACCAGTTGGCTGAATGTACTGCGCTGGCAGCAGGAATCCAAAACGACCTCTGTCTCTCAGCTCAATTGTGTAAGTGTACTTGACCCTAGGGCCTCCCTTAGCCCAATCATCGGCACCTCCTTAAATAAATAATTTAATTTTACAATATTCAAAAATTTAATTTTAAATAGTAAAAAAAAATCAACCATTGTTTGGATTGAATACAAATTAAATTAATAATAAAAATCTATTACATACCTGAAGCGGCATACAAAAGGCTTGCAGAGTTTCCAACCGTATAAGAGGCGCCACCAACTTGTCTCATATTCTGAGCTGCCTTCTTGCCCACCCTGTCCAAATCAGCGTAATCGGGGGGAACTTTTTTGTCATAACCCCATGGGTACAGAATGTACTGTCCGTAACTGTGGAACGTCACATAAGCCTAACGAAAAATAAGATGAATGCGTTTTAATTCAAATTTATTACTTTTTTAAACACTGCCTACCCTGACGCTGGTGCCTAAGTTGGAAACAAAATTCCTGATGGCCTGTGTCTCGGGCTCAGAGAAGGGAGCGCTTCCGGCGTAGATTTCCTGACAGGGGTCGTGACTCGATCCCGCACCACCCCACTTGTAGCCAAAATTCCTGTTCAGGTCAGTGCCGGCGCATCTACCCTTGCTGGCGTCCTTCCTGTTTTTGCGCCACAACCGCACGCCGTTGTGCGTGTGCTCGTAACCATCAGGGTTCACAACTGGGACGATGTAAAAGTCGACTTTGTCGGCAAAAGTGTTGCTGTCCCGATTTTCTGTCAACTCTTTTATGATGTAGCCCACAGAGGCTGGCGAGATCCACTCCCGAGCATGAATACCTGAAAATGGAAACAAAAGAAATATGATTTATAAATGCAACTTCTCTAACTCTAAATTCCTATAAATTTTCTCAAATTTTTTATTTTCCGCCACAGACTGGTTTTTTTTTTATATCTTCTGATACTGCTAGTTGATATAAATATTGAGCTAAGCTATAGGTTTTTCAAGTTTAACGTGCTGACTATGAATATGTTAACCACTTACTCAATTTCCATTTAAAAGAGTAGATTTGCAGTTTGTTTTTAAATGAACAGAAGTTTCAAAAAGGGACAAAGCACTATTTTCTTCACTTCATTAAAAAACTATAAAAAAAATAAATGCGCATGATCAACTGTATATTTGAGAAATAAAATTGATTCGCTTTTCGTAGTACGTCAATTGCGCTACTTGCCTCCATCAATATAAAATGCAGGTTTAGTTGCTCTCTCGCTTCTGCTTTTTGAAGAAGAAATTTTGATCATTTTTATCGGCCTGCCCTCAACGGACGATCCAATAGTTTGGACTGAACAAATATCAGGATACGTCTGTGCCAAGTAGTCCAAATAACCGTGAATATCGGCGACCCTATGGTAGCTCTGCAAGGTGAAACGATGACCTGAAACAAAATCGCAATGAGCGAAATCAGACCAGTTGTCTACTTTTGCGGCGATAAATTAAAATGCAAGACATGGTGCCAAACAAAAATGATTAATTCATGCCTGCCAATGAAACACAAAAGATATACAAATAAATGCAACACACAGAATTGCGAGGTAATTTATGTGCGCGGAGAGAAAGGAAGCTTTGCTTATTTACATTTTTGTTTAAGGGCCCATTAAAGGCCTCATTTTGTTTATCTGTTGGAAAATATTTACATTTCTTTCCATCCTCGGGAATATACATTTAATTCAGGCACGTGCTGGTCGCACCTCTTTTTTACATTTGTGTATGTTTTTCTTCAGTTTTAATTGACACCCACAAAACATATAAAATTCATGTTATTAATAAAAAAATAGTGCAAATGCAGTTGTTAGTTTGTTCTTGCAAATTTGTTTTGTGAGCTGACAACAAAAAGATTTCCTGCCCTGGTCATCTCACCGCGCTTTTTGCAGCAAAACAATTCGTTATAAGGCGATACATAATGCGTCGTCCTGCGCCTCCACTGAAAAACAGGCGCTGCCCTAACGCCCTTGCCGACTGCAATTCATAACGCAAATCGAGTCAAATCGGCTGCTCACGCGACAATTGCAGTTGAGCTGCAAGAGGAAACAAAAGTTTTTTTGCCACACGGAGTAAAACACTGAAATTGACGTGTCTTTTGTGTATAGTAAAGCGAAAAATGACAAATTGAAAAGGCAATAATTTTTTAATAAATTGATGCTATTTCCAAGGCTTACCTTGTCTGCCCGCAAGTTCTTCCTCCTCTTCCTCGGATAGGCTAGGATTTTCGTCCTTAATTGCTGTTTCTACGTCAGATATCATGACCCTGAAGGTCGCGCTGACGTTTCTTAGTTGGTCCTTGACCACATCCAAAGCTGGTGCGGGCACCATGATGTCGACGTGAGTTCGTCCGGCTGCGGGATTCAACCACGTGTCCAACTCTAGAACCAGAAAATATTATTATAATGATTATTATCTTTTGATCAGATCATTAAAAATTCATATTCATTTTTATTACTGAAAACAATTTAATATTGTTTGTTCTAGCTAATTTGAAGTTCTAGCAAAAAGCAAGTAAATCTCTTTCTAAAGTCGCCGATCTTCTTTAATGTAAAAAATATTGAGGTTGAAGTAATTTAAAAATTTTGAGACACATTTTCATGGTACAAAAAGTTAAATGCAGATTTTTACAATTTATTCATTTAATTTTTCACTATAAATATAATGAATTATTGCATTCAAAAAATTCAGAACATCAAAAGTAAATTATTTATGATTTCTACCAAAGTAAAATCCAAGTCGTTTGATGTTGAGAAAAATTTCTTGGTTAAAATTCGACGGGGCGCGAGCTACTTTAAGTTCAGACGTGTAATAACGGTGCTTGCAATTTCGTTCTTTACTTTCGTGACCTATCAATCAGATGCCAAAATCAGCGTGAGTCTCATGTGAGAGGAGAGAGAACTGGTTTTTTCTTTCTGTCCCATCATCGCGCAGAAGTTCAAGAATAAACTTAACAGATGAAGCCGAGATGTGATAACTGTACCGCAACCGTTGACGCTCGGCCACGCGGCGCCTTGGAGTGCAAGGTTCTGTTGGCTGACCTACGCGCGATCTCTCATTACTTATGCATGCCGCATTCTTTTCTCGTTTGTTGGGTGGGCAGTAGAAGCAGTTCTTCGTCGTGGCTATTCTAATATATTTGTTGTCAATAAAGACTTATCAAAGGAGGAAAACTAATGTGCAAGATAACTGTCCGTTCGATTAGCATAAATTTTCATTCGAATATCATCAGGTCAACGCTCTAAATTTGTTGCATTGATTGATCTGATTTTTAATTTACAAAACTCCCTCCCATTGCAGCATTTGCAAAGTGCCACGCCACTTGCCACTCAAATAATTTATGTTGATGAAGAAACGAAAATCAGTAAAAAAAGGCAATGCTCAACCTGTTTTTTCAATTGTATGAATTTTTTCTTTACTTAATATCTCTAATTGTTTCCACGTTAATTTATTATTATTCATAAATTTTCATCGTAACGGTCAGAATTTGTTTAATTTAATTTTCTTGTCAAGCAAGCTTTTTATTAGCTCTCATTAGAAATCAAGAAATATTGGAATCTTTATAAGGAAAATAACATACAAGATGAAATATGGCAGTATAGATATAAAACGACGATTAAAATTTGAAATAGACACTTCACACCTTGGTTGCTTCTTTCTTTCTTTTCATTGTTTTAGCAACTGAAAATGTGACCTTTTAAAATTTAACTTCATGTAAAGTGAACAATTTAAATGAAAAAAATCTGGTTTCTTTCCTGATCTATTTTCCTAGTGGCTACTTCTTCTTCCTAATAAAAACTTTTTCTTTGTGTTATTTGTTTTCAATAACGTTTGCATGTTAAAGTAAAGAGAACTTTTTTTACCTTATTAGTCAGGCCAGTGACTTATTATCAGCATTTATGTAAAGTTTAGTGTTCATTAATTTTTTTTATTGTGATCCCCCAAAAATATTTAATTAATTCAGAAAAGTAATTATAATTAAATTTAATCAATTCTTACTCTGTTCTTCTTGCATCTTCCTCAAAACTTCCTTCTGGTGCTCCGACACAGCCTCAACCCTGAGCACTTGCGCACCCTTGTACAACTCCTGTGCGTCCTGGATGTCCCGCAGCTCGCCTGCATTTTGCGGCGCCGCTCGGGCCAGGGCGGCGGCCAGGGTCAAAATCAGCAACCTAGGCAGCATTCTGGCCGACTGAACACGCGCTGAGCCTCTGCCGCGTTTTATATACCTGGACGCCTCCCACCTCAGGTGCGTGTGATAGATTCAACTGATCGCATATATAAATATCGGAGTGACGATCTACAATTTCAAAATTTAAAATTCACTGCCTGTTCTGGCAATAAAATAAAAGAAGAAGCTTAGACGTCAAAGTTGTGTGTGTCGCTTTTTTGGCACACTGATTTTGAATAGCAAAATTCAAGACGCGTCTCTACGTTCAGAATTATAGTATGACCTGCCACCAACAAACTGGATGACCTAATAATTACGTTATATAAGTTCAAAATTAGGAGCTTTTTTTTAAATGATTAGTTCAAAAGAAAAATTTTAGTTGCAAATTAAATTTATTGGTGCACCACAAGGCATGAAGACAATCTCTGCCCAAATCGAAATACATCATACAAAATAATACAAACATTCAAAAGTTATAATTAAAAGATAAACCACAACAATTCAATTGGAGAGAAGAGTCACATAATATTATATACTGAAAAAGCTTTTCGGAAAAAACTAAGAAATCGAGAATGTAAATTTTAAACTGAATAGTAAAAATTGGACTTTTAACAACTCATTTTTTTGAAATAGAAAATAATTTGATAATAATGTTACTTATATAAATTACAATTTAAAAAAAGGGTTTCAAATTTTATTTATATTGGCAAATTTTACCTTTCATACATTTGTGAGATATTAATTCTTAATTGCTTTGAGCAGGTTAATTAAGAGGCCTTAGCTTTGACTAAAATAAAATTATTGAGCAGGGCACAAAAACGTATTTTATGTGCTTTTTATGCTTTTAATTTGTTAAAGTTTGATACTATATACATTAAATTATTATCATATTAGGTGTTCCAGAATTGAATAAAAGCGGGATAAAAATTGAGGAACGTAACATTTAAAAACATTTTTTACACCAAGACTGCACCACCAACATGCAAAATGACATCAACTAGTTGACTATTGACTATTGTTATCATTTTAATTAAAACAACTTATTCTCTTTAATATCTATTACATAATAGTAGCAACTTAAATTGCGAATAATTTAAAATTTTAATTATGGCCTTCTGAGGCCTCTCGAGATCGTCTTTACATTTAAAAACGTTTAATTATTGTGATTATTTTTCTCCTTCGCACATACAAATGTTGATATTCATTTTGCGGCCCACCTCAGCGCGGCGGACTTTCTTTTGTCCCCAAGTTTTGGCAACTGGGCTATCATAAGATGTTACCGTTTCTTGATACTGTAACTTCATTCATTTTCTCCTTTTTGACTTGCATAGAATAAACTTTGGTAATAATTAATAATAAATTGCAGAGGCCGCATTAAGCTGCATTATTCAAGTGGCTTTAAGGCTCATAATACTTATTAAGCATACTATGGAGGGATCATAAAAAATATTAGGCTTGTTTTGCAGAAATTAAAATTCCTTTTTTGTTGCCATTATGGAATTTAATAAATTCTTCGAGGTACATTTTTAATTAAAAATGCACATTTTCTAAAAAAAGGACAAGTTATGTTAATAAAATATTTTCAGTTTTGCAACAATTTAAGATAGACGCTGCAATGAAAAGTATTATGGATATATTATGCAAGCAGGAGGCAACCGACTGCTTTAAAATATTGTTTTAAATTGTCTGTGCTCTACTTTCCTGTAAAATTGCCTACACGCGCAATACGCAACCCGCGCAACACAGAAATTTGTATTTGTTCAGAACATTTTTATTTAATATATTCGTTTATTCCCGCTTAGTGTGCATTCAGGTCCACTTCCGGGTTGGGCGGTTTCTTAACTGCTTCACCCCAAAATCCCAAAATGCTGAAAATATTTTGGATCTAATGTAAGGGAATAATTGAAAGGCTGTAACATTCAAAAGTTAGTTAAATGAAAACGCGAAATTAAATATTTTGTGTTGTCTCGCCTTTAATTGCGTTTTATCGTATTCATATTATGCAAAGTCTCAAGTAGTGAAATCTACAACTATAGGAAATTTGTAATGTTCATTCAATTAGGATTTTGTTAAAATATTGTATGACTAATTATATTTATAGTATTTACCCGGTATTACCACCACATAAATTATATTGTATGCCAAACGCCGGTTCATGCTATAAATCTGGTTATAATTTCTAGTGCACTGTGATCGTGGTGATGCTGCCACATAATGAGAAAAAATTATGAGATATGACGTGGGCGCCAACAACGCGACGCCGTGCAACTTTAATTAGCAAACGAGTTTATTTTTCCCCTTTCCAGCTAATTTACAATCGCACTTATTTTTTTTTTTTTTATCTCGCAGAGAGAAGCGGCAAGGTTTTTAGAGCTTCGGCCTGACAGGTTGGCGCGGTCAACCCAGCCAGACGTGTGCGGAAAGAGCAGGTTGCAGAGGCGACGACAGCGCTCCTGGCGGCGATTCGCGAAACACGAGGCATTGCCGTCAACAACAGCAGCCCAAGCTCGAAAGAAGACGAGTCCTGCTCGCGCGCCTCAGGGCAGAGAAGAGAAGGGGGTCTTCGACCTTTGGCTGGATGACCCGATTGTCGGCGCCCAGCCACATTTCTCCGACCTTTGCCTGAGAAAGTGAATTCGCGAGCGGGCGGGCAATCGCGTGAGTGAACGAGCTGCAAGCGAGGAGGACAATATGTGCCTGCGTCACTCGACCTAGCACTTTCCCAGAGCGAACTCGTCGGGTCCAAGCTGGTTCGTATCCCAAACCTCCCGTACCCGTGCCCTTAATTAGCCGACGTGTCGCTGCCACACAGCCAGCATCCAGTGCGTGCACTTTTCCGGTTCAAAATCACGGATCAGTCGGAGAAATTTCTTCTTCATGGGTTTGTACGGGAATTGTTTTTAAACCTGACCTGGCGTCTCGGCAGGTGTATACCCGGCCTCAGGCTATCTTTTGTTCCGCTTCGGACTCGCCTTTGCGACTCGATTGTGTCCCAATTTTATCAATATGAGCACTGATAATTTTAACAATTAGCTATTATTACTTAATTGCTAGAGAGAGATTACTCTAATTTAATTTGTTGGGTGCGCTGTGACGACGAAAATTTGACGTTGCACTAAAATTTTATCTCTTTTGGTGATATTTTTTTCATATCAATTTTTTTAATGACTTGCATACGCTGTGCGAAAATGTTGGCAAGGAAACATAATAATTATTCTGCAAGGCGCAGTACAAGTAAAGCTTTTGAATTAAAAATTTTCCTTGTGTCTTATTTTGTTTGTTTAAATTGGTTAAATATTTTATAATATGTTTAACAATTTCATTTAATGTTGGTGAAAATGTTTTCCAAATGATATAGATTTTAATTTTATTAATTTTTTAATTGATTTTTATTATGAAATTTAAAAAAAAAATTAAAAAACTTTTATTCGAGCTGCTTCTATTGCAAATTGAAATAAATTATTGCGCTTTATTTATTATTAACTCACTACTATTTTATATTGCGCAAGAGTTTATTGTTTCGATGGTTTCAATATTTGCCTAACATAATTGGGACAAAATTAATGTTGATAAATTTGTCGCTAAGTTCGTTCTAGAGATAAAAAGACGTATTATTTGGTTGTGTGTTCTATGTTAGTGACTCCAGGAGCTGCAAAATTGCTCGTTATCTTTGAGATTTGACGTCAAAGCTCTCTTGGAATTTAAAATTATCGCCAAGGTGTTAAAAATGCGCTAGTTCGCGCAGTGACACGCACTCGGTCGCAAACGATCGCCGTCTTTGAAGATATGGAAAAGCTAGCTGAAATAAATTATCACTAGAGGCAGACTTGAGACATGTCAATCATCTAAAATCATTAGAAATGATCATCTTTCTTGTTTTGTTTCTTTTATGTATTTTAAAAATTGTTTGCAATGAATATATTTATGAAAATTTAAGTAAACAACAAATTTTAATTGGCGTAAATTTTTCAACAGTTATCTTATCAAATTCTTATCGTCAGTAATTATACCTGTCTGAAACCACAATAATTGGCTTTCCCTTTCTTATAATTATAATTCTTTTTTTGTACGTCGTGGAAGTTTTTGGAGATCCAAAAAGTAATGTCCAATGAAAATATTTAAAAATGGTGTACAAAATTTTAAGTGTGGCTACGACAACTATTTTTTATTTCTCTGCCTTAAATTGTCTTCTACGAGGCAACAGGAAGTAAAAATTATTATTTTCTCTTTTATTTTCAGATGTGAGGGCAGAGGATGGGCAGTTGAGTTGAGTCCTCGGGTCAACATGGTATTTCTCAGGAGGCGATCGTTGCTGCTCAAGGCTGTGCTGGCAGTGCCAGTCATCTGGTTCTTCGTGACTGTCATTTACTCTTCCTCCTCCTCGGACAAGTCACATGCTCCTCCACACCCTGCCGACTTGCCACCAGAATTGGCTGCCCAGCACCAAGAGGAGCCACACCGGCCGCCACCCAGACCGGTTATTAAAAAAGAGAAGATTTCAAGGGTCGAGCCGGCGGAACCGCCAGAAGTTGAAGAGCCGCCCGAAGATGGTATTTTTGTTTGTTTTTAAATTTCATAATTGCATTTTAACTTAATTATTAGATTAAATTTTAAATTTTTAGTTTTTTCCCAATTAAAAGTTTACATTCAGTGATTCTATATTACAAATGATCAAAAATAAGTCTTTGAATTGCGCTCAGCATGGACTGCCATCAAAATAAATATCACTATCAGCTTCCGTTGAGTACCACATCCGTCACCCTGAATTACTATCAAAAACTTGGCCATGAATATTTATATCTTAAACATGCCAAAGAAGTATTTGAGTATTTAAGTTCTTATTGCCTTGGCCTGAAAATTATTTGTTAATAAAAAGTATAAACTTTATTTTGGATGTGGTCAGTGGTTAAATATTTAAATTCACACTTATGTCACCACTTCTGGCCTACTTTCAAATGTAAAATAAGCAATTTCTAAATAATCAAGAGGCATATATATTATTGTGCAGGAATGTCTGAACATGAGAATGAAATAGAGGATAACAAAAAAGAAGGAGCCCCAGGTGCTGGTGTGCTGCCTCTGCCGAACGGCAACACCAAATATGGAGAAATGGGCAAGCCTGTTGTGCTGCCAAGCAACATGTCAGCGGGAATGAAGAAGCTGGTTGACGAGGGCTGGCAGAAAAATGCTTTCAACCAGTATGTTAGTGACCTCATTTCAGTCAGGCGCAATCTTCCTGACCCTCGAGACGAGTGGTTAGCGTTATTTTATTAAATTCAATATCCAATTTTTAACTTATTATATTCCGTCAGGTGTAAGAAGGAAGATCGCTACTTGGCCACCCTGCCTTCAACTTCAGTCATTATTTGCTTCCATAATGAAGCTTGGTCAGTTTTGCTCCGCACAGTACACTCAGTATTAGACAGATCTCCAGCACATTTGATCCACGAGATCCTACTCGTGGACGATTTTTCAGATATGGGTACTGCAAAAGTTTTAGAATATATGTTTTTATATCTTATAATTTTTTCAATTTTTCAGAGCATGTGAAGGATCGGCTAGAAAATTATTTTAAGAAATACCCTAAAGTAAAAATAGTCCGCGCCAAAAAGCGGGAAGGGCTGATCAGAGCCCGCCTTTTGGGCGCTGCCAGAGCCACAGGCAAAGTACTTACCTACCTTGATTCACATTGTGAATGCACCACAGGTTGGCACTTCAATTAAAAACAAAATCTGGAATTTTAGAGCTCAATTTTGTTTCAGGCTGGCTGGAACCTCTGTTGGACAGAATTGCTAGGAATTCGACAACTGTTGTTTGCCCAGTTATTGATGTCATTGATGACACCACTCTTGAGTATCACTATAGAGACTCGGGTGGAGTTAATGTTGGTGGTTTTGACTGGAATTTGCAGGTATTTTTTGCTCCTTTCATTAATTATTTTAAAGAGTAACTTATTCTAATTTTAGTTTAACTGGCATTCTGTACCTGAGAGGGAGCGCAAAAGACACTCCAATTCTGCCGAGCCAGTGTGGAGCCCAACAATGGCGGGCGGCCTATTTAGTATTGATAGAGAGTTTTTCGAGAAACTTGGCACCTATGATAATGGTTTTGACATTTGGGGAGGAGAAAACTTAGAGCTTTCATTTAAGGTAAAGGAAATTGTGAATTTGAGAAAATTGACCAAAAATCCTATTTCCGTTAGACTTGGATGTGTGGTGGTACACTTGAAATAGTTCCGTGCTCACATGTGGGCCACATCTTTCGTAAACGCTCTCCCTATAAGTGGAGAACTGGTGTCAACGTCCTGAAGAAAAACTCAATCCGTCTGGCTGAGGTCTGGCTTGATGACTACTCGAAGTATTACTATCAACGCATAGGAAATGACTTGGTAAGAATGTTGCACATTTTGTCAGCTACGCAGACAACTGGCCACACACAACAAAGCTTTTTTATTTTGAAAAATTGTTTCCATTTGTCCGACGATTTGTTATGAAATGCATTTCCTTATGGCCGTGATTGCAGGGAGATTTTGGTGACGTGTCTCCCAGAAAGAAATTGCGTCAGGAATTGAAATGCAATTCCTTCAAGTGGTACTTGGACAACATATATCCTGAACTCTTTGTACCTGGAGACGCTGCTGCCTCAGGCGAGGTTAATTAATTATATATTTTAATTCAAACAGAAATATTTGAATCGCTATTTTTTGACAGATCCGAAATACTTGGTCTGGTCAATGCATTGATTCTGCCTGCAAACCAGAAGACCATCACAAACCAGTTGGTTTGTGGCCTTGCCATAAACAAGGTGGCAACCAGGTACGATTATTAATTGAATAAAATTTGGCATTGTTTATATTTACTTGTTTCTTGTGACAGTATTGGATGCTAAGCAAAACAGGAGAAATCAGAAGGGATGAGACTTGTATTGACTATGCAGGTCAGGAAGTGATTCTCTACCCTTGCCATGGCTCCAAAGGCAACCAGTTTTGGGAGTACAATCAAGCAGTACGTACAATTTTAGGAATTTTACCATGATTTTAAATCAACATCATGTGATTTATTATTTCAGTCCAAGCTGGTGCGTCACGGGAGCAGCAAAAAGTGCCTTGGAGTGAACGAGAGTAAAAAGAAATTAGTAATGCAGGACTGCAATCAGCAAAATAGCAACCAGCATTGGCTTTTTGAGAATTTTGATCCGTCCAAACTTAGTCACGATGAGCCATCAAAATAGAAAAAATATCATTAGTCGCAAGGCCAACTGAAAATTTTGCATTTTTAAATCATGGGCATATCAGTAAAAATATTAGAGTAAATTTGAATAATAAGTTTGAAGTATTGAAATTGTTCTATTATGTATGGGCCAAATAGGCAAGCACTTTATCAGTCAACCAGTGTGATCTTGTTGAACTTCTCTGTTGAGACATTCCAGTGTGCTTTGTGTTACGTGAGAGTGATTTTAGATTTTACTCATCTGGGCATTCCGTTGCTACAGGATTTTATCTTTTTATATCTTATAATGTTTGTAAATTGTTATTTAATACCTGCTCCATAATGATTATTTGTAGCAATTTAATAATGCTTTAAAATTGTCATCAATTTTTGTGTGCAAGGCTGGTGCTCATATTTGTACTTACTTTTCTCTGTTAGCAAAACTCCTTTGAGAGGTGAGCAATTTTTTTTTATTATTTTGCACAAAAATTTTATTTATTTTTGGATAATTGAACATTTTGTTTGGAAATTACTCGTAAGAGTTGATTAGGTAAAATTGTAAAGGAAAGAGTCCTTTTAATAAAAATTACAAGGCACTTGATATCAATCGTGTAACTTGCATATCCAATATGGAAAATTGTCTGTATTTAAAAGAACATTCCGCAATATCTGATTTGGAATTTTTATCTTACAATTATAATTTGTGATATTTAGTGCAATATGCTGGAGTATTATTCCATGCTCAAATTGTTGCAGGTCTTTTCTCGAGTGCCGTAATAACCTCCACAACTGTTTGTTTTGCATATATGACTAAGAAATAATTGAAATACAACACATTATATAAAATGGCTAGTTTTATTTATTAGCTTCCAATTCTTTTTTCATATTTAGCAAGTAGCTAAATGACTTTGAACTTTAATTCAATGTTCACAATTTATATGATTGTTAGTGGCAGTTTCAAAATATATTCATTTCTGAGAGTAGCTCAATCTTGTCATTTTATGCAAAATATAAAAATTTATTATTAGGTTTTCATTAAATAAGATTTCTTTAAGTCTGCTTATAATAGTATACCATTATTTATTATTACAATAAGACCAATGTATTACAATGAATAAAAGAATCTAGGTAATTGAAGTCAATTTTAGAACACAAACTATAAAAGGATAAAATTTTATATATCTAAAGAATTCTCTGTTGTTTCTCGGTGTTTTATCTTTACATCTCCTTGTGCTCATAGTACTCTGTTAGGTCTAAAGTCAGCACTTGACTCACCAACACACCGTCGTCAATCTGCAAAGAGACATTATAATTTCTTGTTACTTTCTTTTGAGCAAACTTACGTCAGGGCAGATTCCAATTAGGGCATTGGCATGGGAGTAAAACTCTTCTTTCAAAGAAATGACGATTGTTTGCAGAGAATTGGTCTTTTCAACAATGTACGTAGCTACTTTGGAGATGTTGGTGTTATCCAGGGCAGCGTCAATCTCGTCCAGAACAAAGAATGGGGCAGGCTGATAGCTAAATTTGACAAGTATAATTTATTGGCCAAATTAAAAAAAATGAAGCTTCGTACCTGTGGATGGCAAAAAGGAGGGCCAACGCCGCAACAGTTTTTTCACCACCACTCAGGTTAGACATGGGCTGGAATCTTTTGCCAGGTGCCACACAATTGTAGTTGATGCCATCAAGGTAGGGCTCTTCAGGGTTTTCTGGTCCTAAGAATGCCTGGGCCGACTGGTTCTGAGCCAAGCTCTGCAATGAAAAAAAACTTACGATTGGTCTTAAAGGATGGATGAAATTCATTTACCTTGTAAATGCCATCAATCCTGTCGGACACAAGCTGGAAGCAGTCCATGAAGCGTTTGTAACGTTCGGCTTTGACCCTCTCAAATGTCTGCTTAGTTTTACGTGCCTTCTTGCGCACATTTTCAAACTCTTTATCCGTTTCTTGCAACTTTTCTCTGGCCATATCGAGCTTTTGCATTGCCTAATTAAATTTCACACATAATCAGCAATTAGTGATTTTCTTTTTCAAAATTAATTGTCACCTTCAGGTTGGGAGCATTGATTTTCTGGATGTTGGAAATGCACTCATTGAGCTTCTTGCTCAAATTGCTTTCAATTTTCTTTTTGTCGTCAGGGTCATCCAGGTCCTTTAATTGAGATCTCAGCGATTCATAATCAATTCTTATCCTAAGGCAAGAATTGGTTTAATGTTTTTCTTTAATAAATTAAATAAAGCTTAGCAATAGATCCCAATTTTTAGAAAAATAACCTTGAATTAAATAGACAAACCTGCTTTCTCTGTCATATGATTGTTGAGAGGTCGAGGGACCATCTCCTTGGCCATCGTCCTGTGATCCTGAAGCCTCAGGCCCTCCTATGTCCTCCATGTTTCCTCTCAGCATTGGTATCAATATATCCTCCATCTGAAAATAAGATAAATAAAATGTTCCAAATAAATCATTTCAGTGCTGCAAACCTTGCACTGGGTAAGGATGCTGTGACGCTCGCCTTTCTTTTGCTCAATCTTTGACTCGAGAATGGAACACTGTTTCTGGGCGGCAAGAATTTCTTTTGCAACAGATCCAACTTCTCGCCGCATCTTTCCAATCTCTTCTTCAAGACGATCATACTCAACTTTCTTGTTAAGCCTTTCATTCTTCAGTTTGTCCATCTCCTTCATGTCCTTGTCTATCTCAGCGAGTTGAAGGCTTTCTGCTCTGCGTGCTTTTTCAAGTGCATCTTCATCATCTTGGACAGCTCTTTCCCAGCGCCGCATGTTGTCTAGTTAAAAAAGCAGATTAATATTGAATTTAAATTATAAAATAAATAATTACTTTCAGTTTCCCTTGTCCTTTCAAATGCAAGCTGGTTTTGGATTCTGTTTTTCTGATTCTCAAACTCAAGGCGTTTCTTTGCACGCTCCTGCTGAGTTCTGGAAAAAGCAGATTACTTTAGAGATTGAAAATAATGAAAGAATTGATATTTTGTTTTATATATAAAAGATGACAAACCTCAGTTCCCTTTCTTCATACTGGCGAATATTCTTGACACCAATCTGCACACAGAATTCCCTGAAGACAACATCCTCAACATTGTTCATGTTCTCTTTGATCTTCTCAATCTCAGCGTCTCTTTTACGCATTCTGTCCTCGATGCTGGTGATGTTTGGCTGCAAATAAAAGAAATTTAGCTTTCAAGTATTGATTCCTTTAAGCAATATTTACCTCAAAGTCATTCAAAGTCTGCTTTAGCTGCTTGACCTCTTGCTGCACCACTTGGATTTGTCTTGTCTGAAATTAACGCGGATTAAAATTTTACACTTTTGTCTAATTTTAATGAAACCTACAGTATTATCCAAATCGTTCTTAGAGTATTTCAAGCGCGTTTCAAGACCCTTGATCTGAGACTCAACCGTATTCAATTCACTCTCCTTTCTAGACTTCTTCATGGCTTCTCTCAGCTCTTCTGTGAGTTGCTCCTTCTGCGACTTCAGGTTGGACAAGTGCTTCTCATCCCACCGCTTGGCCTTCCTTGCCAAGTCCAAAGAACCTCCACTAATGATGCCTGACTTCTGGTAAAAAGTACCATCAAGAGCAACAGCGTCATATCTCTGACTATCTTGCATTTCATAGGCAACCTATTTTGAAAATTGATATAATATATTGCAAGTAAATCTAGTGTTTCAAAATTCAAACAAACCTTCATGGCGTCTTCTGGGGATTCACAAACCAGAGCATTGTTAGTGGCAAAGAGAACTGCTCGCTTAATGTCAGGAGGGTCGTACTGAAGGACATCATAAAGCAGTTTGACATTTTTTGGCTCTCGAATATTCCTGCAATAAAACAAAATGAAAATTTGCTCCAATATAATCAATGCAATCTTCACCTCAGTCTTTCCTTCAAGCTTTTAGCCTGGATGTAGTCAAGGGGAAGGAAAGTTTCAGGCTCCAGCATTTGCTCTTTGAGGTATTGAATGCACTGTCTGGCAGTATTTTCTGTGTCGACAACAATGGCCTCCATAAACTTGCCCAGGACCTTGGTCACACACATATTGTACCTTTTGTGTATGGGCTGGCACATGTTGATCATGCGGTCAAACTAAAAAAATATTTTGAAAACTGAACAAATAATTTTTGAACAGCAAATTTACCACTCCTGGGTAAAGACGCTTGAAGTTCTCGACAATTTCCTGTTTCTTTTTACGTCTGGCCTCCTCGTGTTTGTCCACTCGCGCATCTCCGAGTTGCTCAGCCACATTTTCCAGCTCCTTCTGCAAATTGGTGACCTTGTCTTTGCTTGATCCAACATCACTTTCCAGTTCTCTTCGCAGGCGTCGTTGCTCCTCAAGGGCAGATTCGCTGGACCGAATGTGCTCGCCCAGTTTTTCAATTCGCTTTTGTGCTTCCTCTTTCTCGTGGCCCTTTTGCTTGAGACGGTTTTCGATTTCCGTCTTGCGTCTGTACTCGTTGTCCAACCTGTCCTGGTCAGACTTCTGCTCCCTGTTGACCGAGTCCAATTCCTGGAGGTGCAAAGCTGACTGTCTTCCTGCCTCCTCTTTCAGTCGGTGGTACTGATTCATTTGCTCATCCTCCAAATTCAGCTCTTTGCCTAGGAAAAAGATTTTTCATTTGAACTTTATATATTGAAACACTCAAGAGTCATCTGATCCTACCTTGCTGCTGAGACTCTCCAGCTATAGTCTCTTCATAGTCGAGCCTCTTCTTCTCCACCTCGGCTAACTCTCGTTCGAGCTCTGCAATGTCCTCCATGTGGGCATCATAGGCTTTCTTAGCTTGTGCCATTGACTTGCGAGCCGTTTCCAATTTCTTTTGGTGGTGAGCAACTTTTTCCTTGGCTTTGATGAAGGTTGGCCTCTTTTTGTTTATCTCAGTTTCCTGTAAATTGTTATGTTAATAAACACAAAAAGTTCTATATCATGCGAAACACTATACAATCTCTCTGATCTCCTGTTCAATTTTGGCCATCTCACGGCCAATTTTGCCTTGTTCCTTTTTCTTTTCTTTCAGCTCTTCTTCCTTCGACTCCTTTGACTGTTCTATTCTCTGCACAACTTGCTGTTGACTTTCAAGATCACCAGTTATTTCGCCAATGTCCTTTTCATTGTGGTAGAGACGAAACAGGGCCAACTCAACTTGTTTCTCAGCCTGCATAGGTAATTAGATTCTTGAATAAAATGTAAATTTTTTACACTTTACCAATTCATCCTTGAGGCGCTGATATTTCTCAGCTTCTTCCTTTTCCATCTTGGCCTCTTTTCTCTCCATGGCAATATTTCGCTTCTTGTTGTACGTGTGTTGGGTGTCAGCTTCGGCTTGGGATACTTCAATTTTCAAACGATCGTACTCTTCTTTCAAAGCTCCAGAACTGACATTGCAAAATAGAGAGTTAAATTGAAAATAATTAATTTTTAAAATTAATACCCGCTGATTTCTTCAAACAGGGCAGTTCGCTCCTTAGGATTTTTCATGGCAATCGACTCAACAGCACCCTGGAATACCAAGAAATTCTTTGCCTTGGTATTGATTCCCAGTCTCTCAAGTTCAGCAAGGTAGTTCTGACTACTAACGGTCTGAAAAGAAAATTGAATACAATTGTTACACACTCGGTTAGGCATATATATTTGATTAATACTTCTTCATTAATACGATGTTCAGATGAAGAACCAAGCACAATTCTGGTGAAGCTTTTCTCAGTGCCATCTTCTAGCTCAAAAATTGCCGTCACTGAAGCAGATCTAGACACTGGTTTGCCCACAGAAGCTCCGTGGATCAACTCGTTCAATCTTTTCACACGGAGACTTGACGTTTTCTCTCCCATGACGAAACTGATAGCGTCCATGAAATTTGATTTGCCTGAAAATATTTATGATGATAATTTTTGTAAAGGTTTCGTTATCAAAATCTATGTACATACCTGATCCATTGGGCCCAATGACTGCCGTGAAAGGCTTCAAAGGGCCGATTTTCTGGTAGCCCCGATAGGATTTGAAGTTGTCCACTGCGATGTACTTCAAGAAAGCCGGCATATTTGGGCTATTTGATGAATAAATCGCAGTAACCTGAAATTTTGAGGAAATTTAGAAGTCAAAATAATAATCAAACAGTGATTTTCAAGAAGAAGAAAAACTATTTTTTCCGATGAGCCGAAACATTGAATTTTCCCGTGATTTCGCGGCAAAATTTCCATTTATTAAATTTTTAAAGATTCTCACCAAAAACGCTCAACCGTTGTTTTCCAATAGTTGCTATAGGATGAAGGAGATTTTAGGATGGCGATTGAAAGCCCACAGCGAGCAGATTAAGCGCAAATCGTCTAAAATTTCTGCACTGTTTACAAATTTTCGTGTTCTTTCTCGATCGACGCTTCTAGTCTGGAACTTCTATTAAATTCCGCAAAATTGACGGAGGGCGCCGCTGCTCATTGCTTTTGGAAGCGGGAAAATGAAATCGCGCGCTGTGATTGGTCGAAGAACTGCAATTCGAAAACACATCAACACATGAGTAAATAAACATTGCGTTTCGGCTAATTTTCGACGACAACTTATGTCCGTGATGACCGCCTGAACTGGTAATTTGTTGATTTTACAAGCGTAAATTGTTTATCATACATTTATACTCCTAATATAATTAATCATCAGCTAGTTTGATCATCATTTTTTAGTTGAATCTTCTTCCTTTTTTGGTTGTCTCTTCTTTTTTTGCCACGTAATTTGCAAAATAGTAATATTAAAATTCCAAAATTCTAAATTTTACCTTGCCAGGTAATTAAAATGAACGTTAAAGGTACGTGAATTAAAATTAACTTGATGAGTTGACAGTCTCTGCACTCAATAATACTTGTAGGAACAGTTCTTTGCAATTTATTCCTCTAGGTTTTGGCAACATTTTAACAATTATAGATTCAAATCATGTTTTTTTTATCTCTGATTAGCACTTAAGCTCATGATTTCCTTTCCTTACAATTTTTTTAATAAAAGTTCTGATTTTCTAAAGGCAAGATGGATATTTCCTGGCTTGGACAAAGCTTGTCCACCATCACAGGTCAGATCAGCTCACTGACCAGGGAAGTTGTCGAGGATGTTGTTGAGGGGCATTCACGGTCGATCACTGAGACAGGTATAATAAGATTTTCTTTAAAAATTCAATTCAATTATTTATTTTTCTCCAAACAAGTCAGAACAATCAATTGTGAAAATATTTTGTTGGGAGAAAAATAGGCACACCAGAGTGAACAACTCACTGAAACTCGTAGCCGAGTATATTACCAAGAGGCGATAAATACCCGACTACTCGCCGCACTGCAGCCTGAACTACGCGAAAAAATTTAAAATTTGTTTTACATGCTCTTTGCAAAATTTTAGAAAATCAATAACATTTTAAATTATGGTCTCAAAAATGTTTTTAGTAAAAAAAAAAAAAAAAAAATAAATAAACTATCAATTTAACATAGAAATATTAATTTGACAGAAATTTGCATTGAAATTTTAGAAAACCCTTCGAGTGATCATGATTCTAAAGCAGTTATAGAAGAGCTACAATCAAGCCTAGTTGCCAAGGACTGCCAGGTGAGAAAAAAAATAAATTCCTTCTAATATAATTATTTTTCTTATTTAGGAAATCTAAAATTTTAAGTTAGAATTTTTATCTTTGAAATAAAATGTAATTTTTTAAGTCTGTTAATTTGGGGAAATTTCCTCTAACAAACTGCTTGGTTTTTCTGTGCGGCTTGACGTCGGTAGGATTTTATGGAGGTTTATCGGAGCTGATAGGAGGTTATCTGAAACATCTGGCTGTTTTTTGGGGCTGAGTAGCAATAAACGGCATATGGGCTGTCACCTCCCATGTTTGCTCTGCTCTCAACCTTCCACGACTGATTCCAATTTATTGGGCTTATCAATCATAAACACAGTGGGCAAATTTCGTGGGAATGATAAAATAAATGACTCAGACACCAACCCCTATTGAAAAATGGCCGCGATGAAGCAAAGTCACCACAGTTGATTTTTTAGTGAGACACAGAAGGAAACGCATTTTTAAGTCTGTTCCCAAGGGAATAGGAGATACGAATGGCTATTTGAGTAAATTCTTGCTTGTTTCAGATTCTTGAATTACAATCTCGCATCCGAGAACTTGAGCTTGCAGCACAACCGAAGGACAAGGAGAAAACACACCAGAGAACGCTTTCTGTGAGTGAATGCACTTTTGATAAGAATTCATGCCTCGACTGAAACTAAAACATAACGTTTATCTTAAGGCGTCTGTTTAAAATTTTAAACTTAAGAAGAAATTTTTAAAAGAATAAATTAGCCTGTAAATAACTATAAAATTAAGAAAAATTGTCTTTCAAATATTATTTAAAACATAAAAAATTAATATCAAATTAATATCTAAGCAAAAAGAAAAATTATTGCGAATAATCAAGAGTGATATTTAAAAATAATCTATTATAAAACCCTTTTGAAACCTAAATAATGCCAATAATGCAATCCGTGTACTAGAGCTGCGCCAGCAGAGAAAATTTATTATACTTATTGAATTCTAGATGAAGTTCACTAAAAATAAAAAAAGTAATACTTTCTAATTGCATTGAAAACTGAAAAAATCTACAGCATTTAAAAGTGTGTGTGAGTTTTAAGACTTGAAATTCTCTTTACCCCTTATATTTCTTACGCCTTGTAAATTAAACTAAGGTGAACCAGATTTTTGTGGCTTAAAAATTTTATTTTTCAACTGAACGGCTATTCTATATTATTTTATAAAATGACTCTAATAAAACTATGTATCAAAAACTCCGAATTACTCAAAATTAACAGTCAATGTCGGTGAGCGGGAAATCTGTAATCAGTCTCGGGAGACCAAGTCATAATCGCATTTCGCAGAATTTGATCTGGCCGAGGAGAGTTTTGAAACGATCGTTGGTTTTGCCCAGGCCCTTGGCGGTTGGCGCATATATCAGCAGGAAAGACTTCCGCTTATCCATAGAGTCCTTACTCCGCACCTACCAGCCCAGAATTATCGCACTTATCAGCGCTTTTTCACTCCCCTCCTTTGTTGATTTAGTTTTGAGACAACAAAGCGTTTGGAAGTTTTACTGAGGTGGGAGATGCGGTGGGTTAGTCAGAGCAGGGCTTCGTTGCTGGCAGGTCCTTCGAAGGGTCCTGTCCGTCCCTGCTTTGAAGTCCTCCCTAAAGCCCCATCAGCGACTCGAGGCTTTGCTTTCAACGTGATCAACACAGGTCTGAAAAAGTTTCCCTGTTAATCTGTTCAATTTTCCGTAACCATTTTTCATTATTTTTTTATATTAATAATTAGGCACTTAAGTTGAAGATAATTTTTGCGCTGAAATTCGTTGTGTAGCTCTGTGTTTGCTACAAGTACTATAAGTTTTATGGCGGGCCTAAATTTTTGGGGCGCTCGTGTTATCCTCAAATTGCGCTTTTAATCGCCCGGCAATTCAAACTCGTGCTCCGCTCGGCCGGTTTACGCAAGGAATGGTGTTTCATATTTGTTTTAAGATAAAATTTAAGCTTTCTCATCCCGTGCGTTATGTAAATAGACGCCCTTTTCTGGCCGAGATAAGAGAGTGGGTAGATGCATGCAGTGTGTGTGTCGACGTCGCCTCTCGCGCGCCGCCTGACTATTTGATCATCACCAAGGCGCGTTTCACAGTCATACACACAAACGCTAGCAACTTGGAAATTTATCTCGAAACTCGGTTAACCCCACATGTTTGCCCCTACGGAGCGTCGGTTTTTTCTGCTGACGACTTTTCCTGTAGGCGTGTGGCTGAATTCTTTAGAGACTTTTGACCTAAAATCAAGCGAGTGAGGCGCGCCAAAAAGGCACAAGTCATTTACAGGAAGTAGCCTTTTTTGGTAAATATTAGCTTTTTATTTGTGAATATTCTCAGGTTACTTTTTTATAATTCTAGCCATTAAAGAGAAATTTTTTTTTTTTTTCAATAATACCATAAATCGTGGAAATAAGACTGAAAGTTTAATTTTTAATACCGAATTTGCACATCTTCTGGATTAAGCCTATTTTATTTTTAACAGTTGTGTCAAATAATTTTTATCCATTTGATTCTGTTTTCTAATTTCTTTCAATCGAAAATCGTATGAACATTGTTAAAACCTGTAGAGGAGAAAAATTTAAAAATTGAGAAATATGAAGATAAAATCAATAATAACATTTTTTCCTACTGTCGAGCTCCATTCTTCTTTTGATGATTTATATTTACATATTTGAGATGAGATGCACGTGCGCTTATTTAGCTTATAACATTATAATTATTGTGAATATTCCACATTATAATTACTATTATTTTCCGCTATTTTTTTTTGCAGTCAGTATTGAAAGCCCCTGGATTTTCAGTGTTCCTAGTTTTCAGTTTCACATACACACGCGAGAAAAAAATGTTCTCTCCTGACTCGCATTGCTGACTGCTGGTGATTAACACGATCTTTTCACCTTGAACCAGCACCATACACACATTAGTCATTTCATTTGTTTGTATTTATTTGCTCTGACTGAACACACCAGTGTGTGAAGTGTAAAATTGAAGGCGAACCGTGATGAAATTCATTTAATGTGATTGCAGCTAATAATAGCACTCGATTCTCGCGCCGCATCACGTCAAAATAACGACATAATTGAGTACACCAATAATTATATTGACGCCTAAAGAGAGGGAAATAATTTCTACGAATTCTACGGCAAAGCTCTAAATGTGGCCAGTTTATAGTTTTATCTCGTTGGAAACAATGTATACGGAGATAAGATAAAAAAAACCAATCAATACCGAACCACCTTTCCTGTTACCTCTGAAATGATAATTATATATCAAACTCAGATATTTGCCCACGGAACCACATTTACCAAAATTATGTTATGACTTTAGTTTTTATTTGCTTGCAGGGAAAATATGAGATTCACAGCATCGACTTTGTTACCCCTACTCAACAAGGCGTCAGTTCATCACCCTTCCTTACCGAAGAGGTGATTCAAAATCCCTTTGGAGGTACGGCACTTATCATTTTCTTTCCATTTGCTTTTTAAAATTATTTCAAATTATTTTAAAGGAATTGGCATTTGAAATAAATTTTTCTTATTATTACCATATCTACTTTATAATTAAAAAACCTATACGATTTTTTTTCCAATTTCTATTGTTCACCTAAGAAATATATATATATATATTTTTTTTGTGAAACGGTTCCATTCTCTTTCTGTTGTTAGATGTTCCTAAAAAGGAGGAGACAACGCTAGAGTCAGCAACAGAGGTGAAGAAAATCGTGCACCGAGATCAGCAAACACAGACCAGGGATGTTTGCTCAGCAGAAGCGAGCGCTCTGAGGAGGAGCACCAGTTTGGGTGGGGACCTGGACACATCCAGACAAAAGCCAGATGCTTTGTGCAACGAAGAGATTTTTGAGTTTCTCTCCTACCTTGAGACCGAAATCAGCAAGCTTCGAGCTGAATCTGACTGCAACCTTAGTAGCGAAGAGGTTGACAGAAAGTTCCTCAAGACCTTAAAGAATAACATCACAGAATGGAAAGAAAAATCTATGACTATTGGGACTTCAGGTATTTTTTAAATTTTCCTTTGACTGAGTTTTATTTTATAAATTTCGTATAATTTTTTACTAAGTATTTAAAATTTTTATTTATGCCACAATTTTTAGGTTCTTGCAAAGAAGAGAAAGAAGACATTGAGGAGATAAAACTGGTTGAACTTGACCCAATTTTAACCAAACCTGTGCTTTTGACGTCTTCCCAAACAACGCAGTGCAATATAATTCCAGCCAAAAAAATTGATCAGGTTCACCAGAGCACTCAAGCTGTTTTGAAAGATGAAGTAAAAAAATCTGCACTTGAAAAATTCACACAATCTGAGCCAGCCGAGACAAAGAAACTTCAGGATGGGGCAACTCAGAGTGAGGCGCTGGCGACTGCATCAGAAGCCACCCAATCCGAAGGGCCACCAGCTCTTAGCGTTGCTTGCGACAACTTGGCTGAGGATCTGGAGTACCTGAGGCTAACTGGCCAAATGAAGAGTGAAGAGGAAGAGGAGAAATCCACCAAGTCTCTGCAGATTCTGACAAGTCAAAATGAAGCTCTGGTGGAGCAATGCACTTCTCTTCAAAGAGATAATGCTTGCCAGGCAGAAAAGGTATTAATTTAATTTCTAATTCTTTTAGTTTGTATTGAAAACAATATTTCTAGTTATTGATTATTTTTCTTTTCACAGATTAAAAGCCTGGGTATTAAAAGTGAGTTGATGCAAGAGGAGCTTAAAAGACTGAGACAACACATGATTGAAGTAGAGGAGGAGTATACTCAGGAGGCTTTAATTAGAACCAACGAGTTGCAAGAGTTGCAGTCCAGATACTCGAATTTAGAGGAGAGATACTCGGAAACTGTGACGTCCTTAAATCAGCGGAGGTATTATTTTTTAATATTGACTTATTTATCCAATTTGTTTTGATACTGATCAAATATTTTATTTATCAGGGACGTAAGTGAAAACCAATTGGACCAGTTTAAGAAAACATACCAGATGGCCATAATGCAGAGAGACGATGCTTTGGCTAAACTGCGTGAGATGGAATCGGAGATTCAAAGGCAAGATGCGGGGTCCCAAAATCTTCAAGCAGTCATTGAACAGCTCCAATTAGGTTAGTAGACAAATATGTAAAATATACATTTTATATTTTTTTTTCATAGACAGGGACAAGGCCATAGATTGCCGCACTCATCAACTGGAGGAAGAAGTGAAGAAGTACTCCGTCAGCATCCAAACTCTTGAAAAGGAGAAGCAAACTTTGCTGGGACAGCTTGTGGAGGCAAAGTCCAGTTTGAAAGCAGCAGCTAGGTTGACGACGCAAATCGATTTGAAAACTACGCAAATTGAAAATCTTCAAAGCGAAGGTAAAATTGAATTCAAAAAATTCTATTTAAAATATTTTCCAATTATTTTGGTGTAGTTTTTTATAAAATATAGCATGTACCCACAAGAACTGTTGTATCATATTATAGTTTAATTTTGTAATTGTTTACCGAAGTTACTAGCATGTTTAAGTAAAATCTGCACATAGATTTATTAAAAAAGTAAGGTTTGGTGAAAGGCAATTTTTATTGCTAATACTCAATATTCACAGTAAACAGTATCGAGCTTGGTGTGGCATCATGGGTTGGTCTTTTTAACATAATTATTTTTGATTATTTTGTCATATTATAATATGGCATCCCCACCTTTCCCAAACTTTATTTTAATTTATTAGATGCATTATAATTCGCATATCAATTGTTTTGAATAATATTAAATGAAAACGGCAGACACAAGAACAAGACAATAATGTCTGCATTTGGTAAAAAAAAACTGTTTAAATCCTGCATTGTCCTGCATGACGTAAAAATATAAGGTATATTATTATCTTCTTGACTGCTGGTTGAAGTTCTAATATCAGCTGGTAAAGCTGGGGAATTTAAGTTGACCAGGTTGCATGCTGATATTAAATCTTTGGCTAGAAAGGCAACTCAACTAGCAAGATCTGCATTCAAGTTTGTAATTAATTTTTATTTTTGCATGTGTATGATCATGTATGATAATTGTATTATTGGTTTTGTACTTGAGATGAGTCTATTTAAAAAAAAAAATGTATGAAAATATTTTGGAAAATATTAATTTGTTGAAATTGTTAGATTTTGATTTATAAAATGGAAAAATTATACTTTTAATTATACATTATGCAACCATTCAAAATTTAAATTTTATTATCTGCATTCTATTGTAATTATTGTTGCACAAATTGATTTTAATTAGTAGAAAGCCTGAGTTACATAAGCAAGTGCACTTTAGTATGAGGCTGGTAGCTTTGTAATCTCATTTGGTATTTGTGAGTTACATTAAGATTTGCTCATATTTCCATTTGGGATTCCACCGTGCAGTCTCGCAGCTTCACTTCACCACCGCAATTTGTGGCACCTGTAGATCGAAGCACTGAAATAACCAGTAGGGTTCTTCCAGGGCTGAGTATTACACCAGGTACTGGTGCTCTCTCAACTACCGGTACCTGTGTCATACTTGTCCTTTGAAGAGCATTCCATTTTTTTTTTGGACATTCTTTTCTTCTATTTTTACCTCATGATATCATGAGTCCAATAAAAAGCAAACAGATTTGGATAGAAAAATTAAAATTACTAATTCAAAAAACTTTTTAGTTGCACAACTAAATCAACATCTGAAGGACGCTCAAGAAGTTGCAACGCAGAGCCAAAAAATATCTGCGGGACACATAGAAAAGTAAAATAAATATTAATTTTCATATAAGGCGTTTCTTACTGATTAATTTTTACAGAAATCTAGTTAAAAACTTGATAGTGAGTTTTTTGATGGCACCTCCTAACAGTAAAATGGAAGCATTGAAAATTGTTGCCACTTTCTTGGACTTCTCAGAGGATGATAGAGTCAAATTAGGGATGCAAAAAGGACCAAAGAAGTCGGGGCCTCAGGTGATCTTCAAATAATTGGCAATTAGTTGTATGGCATAATTTTAAATATAACGTTGCAGGAATCCTTGACTGAGGCCTTTGTCAAATTCCTAGAGAAAGAGTCAAAAGTAGTCCAGGGAGGGCCTATTCACAAAGTGCTTCAAGAGCAGTATAAAGTAAGTCTGTTATATTAGCTTTTGCATTGAATTATGTATTTTCGACTTTAGGAAGTACCTATGGCAACCGAAATGACTCCTGTAACCTCAAGCAATTCTGGCAGCGTTCTAAAAGATGTGCTGAAGCCTACAGATCAGTGACGATTTGTTTTTTACATTCCTTTTGTTTCGTTATCGAAGTTTTATTGGTATTTAATAAAAAAATATAAGTAAAATGTTAATTTTTCTTGTTTACTAAAATTAGAAAATAAAAAGTCGATTTAATTAATGTTATCAAAAGTCTCTATTTATTGGAGGCGGTTAATTTAAATTGAATTAATTCAATAAATTTCACCTCTTAATCAATAAAAGAATTTGTTTGTAAAATATAAGCATTTTGCTATTGAATGATTGAAAGTAATTTTTCAGCATTTTTTTTATACTTTGCATCTCGTGGTGGCTTTTTATTTCGAACGAAATCGTCGGTCGGTGTGGCAATTCTTCCAGATTAAAAAACGCAGGAGTCTTTGAAACAGCCTGGCAAGAAACCAAGGCCAAGCATAAATAAATGGCGCATCTGAGTTGAATTGTTCAGAATTTCTCCTCCAAAAGGCCGTGCTTGAAGAATATAAGCACTGGAATCTGCGAGCCATCGGGCTGATCACGGTACTCCATCAAGGCAACCATGCCCTCAATTTCCTGTGACTCGCCGACAAAGAACTGCAGGTCCTTGAATCTTCCGAGGACATCCTTCATCACTTTGTTCATGTTGTTTTTGAAAACGTCAACCTGGTCGGGCTGTGATTCATTTAGCTTCTCAACTAACCTAGGGGGAAAAAAGAATTTTTGTACATTAGCAACTTGAAAATTCAAAAGCATCAATAATTCAGTTGCATATTAATATTAAGCTCAGATTTAAATGATTAATCAACCAAGTGCAGAGAACACATTTTTTGCACCGTCAGTAGTACCTAATGATAAAGCATCATTGCTAATTGTCTATTTAAATTAAGAAAATTAAATAACTGTTGTGATGCATACTTCTTCATGTAGTCCTTAAGATACGCAGTGTAACTTTTCTTGTCGGGGAAGGCAAAGGTTTCCATCAGTCTGTGGTTGAGGACAACGTCGACGCCCGACTCCACACCTTCAACGGTGCCTTCGTCGGCTTCCTCGGCCGAGGGGTTGGCGCCATCCAGCTGGACGTCTCCTTGCTTTCTCGTTACAAGCTAACGGAAAAGGGTCAATGACTCATCGGTCAACTAAAAGGTGAAGGTTATTTTCCACTCACTTTTCCGGTCACCTCGTACACGACCTCATCCACGAGCTTCATCTTGTAGGTGTCAGAAAACATTTCATCCCCTGCAACAAGTAAATAAACGTCATAACATGCTTCTGCCATGCAAGCTACGATTGCGAGTTTTTCGGCTCACATTATCGAGCAAAATAACAGGCGAATTTTAGGTCGATGCTCGCCTTTTGATGGATAATAATGTCCTGAGGAACCTTACCGGTGAAAATATCCTTGTAGATCCTCATTTTGGTTGATTATAAGGGATTTTGCTGGAGGTCTGCAAAATTCCGCCGATGGCTTCTGACAGCTACAGATCGAAAAGGGTGTTTTCATGCGTTCACCAAACCTCCTCGGTCAAGCTGGGGGGCGTGGCTGCTACGTCGACCATTATAATTTGTGAGTTCATTGAACTCTATATTTACGAGCCCAGAAAGGTGATTTGATATACCATGCCTCTCCATTAGAGAAAATAACTTTTTTAACAACTATTGTCACAGTTTTGCTTGAATTTATCGTAAATTATTAATAAATTTGGATTTAATCATGTTGGTATGAATGTTTCGCTTATAATTTTTGCAGCAAACGTAAATCGGGCCGAGGAGGAATGTAAGTTTCAAGAGTTGGCAGCACCTGCTCTTTCGATTCACTTCACTTGACAGCCCTATTCCCAGCTGCGCAAGTGAATCAGGATCAGATCCGCGCAAGAAACCATTGTTGGATTGCTGTTGCTGTCCAAACTTTGAACCTGAAATTAGCGAGCTCACATCTAAATTGGCCCCTCACCGCTCATCCGGACAAAGAATGTCCGGTTTTCACGAGACTTAACACTCGCCCGTGCCCGTCAAAGGTGCGTATAGGTGGATACGACCGTGGGAAAGGGGCCTCTGTTTCACCTGGAAGGTTTCTGTGAAGGACCTATTTTGGCCCAGATTGCTGCTGCGGGAAAGTGCTTTTCAAGGTTCTTGAAGATCTCTCGGCACTTCCATCGCAGCAATTAAGAATATTTACACCGAGATTGACAAAGATCGACAAATCGCCACGGTTTAACTTCTTTTGTTTTCATTTAACATGCTAAATATACAGCCTTTGCTAACTACAGAATTGATTTTCAAAGTGTAAACATAAATAATTGTCAATATGTATATTATTCAAAGTCACTTTTTTATCTTTTACGTAATTTAATGTTCGTGATCCATCAAATGATTTCACCGTGGAGATTTTTCGATGATTTAGACTTATTTTGTAGTTTTAAATTTGGATCAATCATTAGAGCAAAATTTAAATTGGTTATAATTATAATTTTTTTTGGAAATTTTTGTTTCAGTTATTGAGATTGAAAATTTATTTTTAAAATATTTGTCTTTTGCAGAGTTGATTCATACATTGAAGTGCTCCGTAAATAAAAATATATAAAATGATGAAGGGAAGTGGGCCTCCAAAACGTGAAGGCAAAATGCGAATAAGAGCATTTCCTGTAAGTTAACAAATCAAAGTTTAATTTTTTAGTCATTAACGGCATAACTTTTTCAGGCCAATATGGACGAAAAATACGTGGACACAATTTGGTCCTTATTAAAAAACGCTATTCAAGAAATTCAGAAGAAAAACAACTCTGGACTTAGTTTTGAAGAGCTGTACAGAAACGCCTACACAATGGTTCTGCACAAGCGAGGAGAACGTCTTTACACTGGTCTCAAAGAAGTGGTGACCAGTCATTTGGAGAACAAAGTATTTGCAGAAACTTTTTTCTATTAGTTTGTCCTCATTTCACAAATTTTAGGTTCGGCAAGACGTTTTACAAGCATTGAACAACAACTTCTTGTCCACGCTGAATATGGCTTGGAACGACCACCAAACCTCCATGGTCATGATAAGAGATATCCTCATGTACATGGACCGAGTTTATGTCCAGCAGAATGACGTTGATAACGTTTACAATCTGGGGCTGTCCATATTTAGGGACCAGGTGAGAATGAAAAGTATATTTTATGATCTGATACACTTTGATGGTAAATAATAATTTATTAATAATATGGAGTTTGATTAAATGTAATTTAGATAATATTTTTTATTAGAGCTTCGGTATACAGATTTTTGACAAAAATTAGAATTAATTGGAATTTTTGTCTTTAGGTGGTGAGATATCCTGTTATTGGAGATTCCCTAAGAACCACCCTGCTGGAGCTAGTTGCTAGAGAAAGAAGAGGAGAGGTCGTCGACAGAATTGCCATTAGGAATGCTTGTAGCATGTTGATGATTCTGGGCATTGATGCACGGTGTGTGTATGAGGAAGATTTCGAGCGGCCGTTCTTGCAACAATCAGCTGAATTTTATAAGGTTTGGTGGATTCTAAATATTTTGTACCAGTCTCTTATAAAGTTTTGCAGTTGGAAAGCCAAAAGTTTTTGGCAGAGAACAGTGCCTCTGTGTATATTAAAAAGGTTGAGGCTAGAATCCAAGAGGAAATTGATCGGGCCCAGCACTATTTGGACCAGTCAACCGAGCCTAGAATTGTGGACGTTGTTGAGACGGAGTTGATTAAGAAACATATGAGAACTATTGTTGAGGTAGGTGGACATGGAATGTAAAAATGGCATTATTCATAATTATTCAACTTCATAGATGGAGAATAGTGGTGTCGTTCACATGCTCATTAATCAGAAAACCGAGGACCTTGCGTGCATGTATAAACTCTTCAGTCGATTGCGGGACGGCTTGAAAACGATTTCGGACTGTGTAAGCAAGTACCTTCGTGAGCAAGGCAAGGGTCTTGTTCAGGAAGAGGAAGACTCGAAGCCGCACGACCCCGCAATGGCCTGCACCGGAGGCACAAACGCCATCACTTTTGTTCAGAAACTGCTGGACCTGAAGGACAGATTCGACCATTTCCTGAAGAATTCCTTCAACAACGACAGAATATTCAAGCAGATGATTGCTGCCGACTTTGAGTTTTTCCTAAACCTAAATCCTAAATCTCCGGAATATTTGTCACTTTTCATCGACGACAAGCTCAAGAAGGGAGTTCGAGGGGTATGTAGTGTTCAGACTTTCTTTTGTCCTGCAAGCCTTATGATTTTGTATGTAGATGTCGGAGCAAGAAATCGAGGCGGTTCTAGACAAAGCAATGGTCATGTTCAGATTCCTCCAGGAAAAGGACGTGTTCGAGCGTTATTACAAACAGCACCTGGCGAAGCGTCTTTTGTTGAACAAGTCCGTTAGTGATGACTGCGAAAAGAACATGATTTCTAAACTCAAGGTTAGTAAAAGGGAGTGCTCAAATAAAAGGTGTTCATTAAATTCTTTCACAGACGGAATGTGGCTGCCAATTCACGTCAAAGCTGGAAGGTATGTTCAAGGATATGACTATTTCCAACAGCTACATGGAAGATATGAAGGAACATCTGTCAACAACAGGGGTAAGGTGTTACAAACAAGTATCCAAAAGTGGAATTTTATCAATTGGAAATTAGCAAACTTGCATCGGTGGAGTCGATCTGAATGTGCGAGTTCTTACCACCGGATTTTGGCCGACGCAAACTGTGGTACCCAAATGCAGTATTCCAGCAGCTCCAAGAGAAGCATTTGAAGCTTTCAGAAGGTAAAAAAAATATTGAAATTTATATTGCTTAATTTAAACAAATTTATCAAGAAGTTGAGTTTTAAATGTTAAACATATTTCACAGGTTTTATCTGAGCAAGCACAGTGGTCGGCAATTGACCTTGCAAGCGCAGCTGGGTTCAGCTGACCTCAATGCCTATTTCTACGGTTCTCTGCGGCCCTCTGGAAAAACCGATGATGGTCCTGCCGGTGGTGGCATCGAACTTGCAGCCACATCTTCCTGTCCGTTCCCAACCAGCAGTGGGGGCAGCAAGCAGCCAAGGAAACACATCATACAGGTCTCTACCTACCAGATGTGCGTCCTTATGCTTTTCAACAATCGAGAGCGACTTACTTACGAGGCTAGTATTATCCCTTTTGTAATCAATGAAAATGACAAAAAAATATATGTACAGGAGATTTTAAGTGAGACTGATATTCCTGAGCGAGACCTCATCAGGGCTCTTCAGTCCCTGGCCATGGGTAAGTCAAGCCAACGAGTTCTACTCAAACATCCGAAGACAAAAGAAATCGAGCCCAGCAACATTTTCTGTGTTAATGACAACTTCTACTCCAAACTCCACAGGTGAATTTTATTTTATCATTGATAGCAAGTAGACTGACCATTAAATTTTTTTAAAGGTCTTAAATTAAAACGTGCTTGCAAACATTTTTACTAACACAATTAATCTTGCCCACAGAGTTAAAATCCAGACAGTGGCTTCTCGTGGAGAGACAGAGCCTGAGCGAAAGGAGACAAGAACGAAGGTGGACGAAGATCGCAAGCATGAGATCGAGGCAGCCATCGTGCGTGTGATGAAGGCAAGAAAGAGAATGCAGCACAACTCGCTTGTGGCTGAAGTCACACAACAGCTGAAGGCTCGTTTCTTGCCGCATCCAATGGTGATCAAGAAGAGGATTGAAGGTCTAATTGAGAGAGAATATCTAGCCAGAACTCCCGAGGACAGGTAATTTATTTTCGACATTAAGAAATACTGAATAGTGCTAACATGGTTTTCTCTTGTATTTACAGAAAAGTTTATACATATGTTGCTTAAGAATTCAAGTTTGAATAGCAGCTGGCAAAAAGTGAAAAGCATGATTTTAAGTCATGAGTGAATGTTCGGTGTGTTCAAAATTGTGCAGTTAATGCTGGTTGAATCATGGTGAAACTATTCAGTGCAGCGTCTTTTGAGGAATGTGAATGATTGTAAAATTCAATTGATATAAGTATAAATAAAATCTAAGGTTTGCGAACAATAAAATTAAGAGATAAAATGAACAATTTTAGTAAAAATTTAATATATTGTCAAAATATCAAAGCCCTAAGACATTTTTATTGCAAATCTGCTGCAGCGCTGAACAAAACTAAGCATTGCTATTTAAAACCAGACCAAAGTTGATTTTTGATTTTATATAAAATAAGATATAAAAAAAACCACTTAAAAATTTTCACAACATTTTAATTATAATTGTGAATTAAATAATATAATTGTAACAAATTGTTTGCACTTTCCAATTTTCATCTTGTTCGTTATATGATAGTCTTGATTGGACAGGAGTCAAAAATAATATTTTTTTCAAAGATAGGTTATGTGTAAAAATGTTTATTTTGTACCCAGTTGCACAAGACATTCAGGCTCTAATAGCTTCAGAGCGCCTTAACGTATTTCCTCAAACACAACCCTATGAGCCCAATTTATCAATTATATTTATAGCGCACTCTCCAAAAATCATTTTACAGATGGCATTCATGGTCACTTATTGATAAATTAAATTACTATAAAAATATGACATATTAACTAGCTGATATTGAAATAGCAGCAAATATCTTCAATATCAAAATTAAGAGCAGCAGACAAAAGTCATTAATGATCACAAAATTGAAAACACTCTACAATTTTAATAAATGGCGTGGTTTTTCGATCTTTTGAAAGCTGAAGGAGCAGCGGCTCGCTGAAAACCTTGAAGTGGATCTTCTTGCTTGTTTTCGAGCTGATAGGAATAAGAAATGGACGGGATGATTTCCAAAACGTGATTTGCTATCTGCTGACTTTTTTGGCTCTCCACAAAACTGCCAGAGTGGCTATAACTTGATAGGGCAGACTGCTGTCGACTGTAAGTGGCACTCTGTAATTTAAATAATATATCTCATCAATAGTTAATTATAAATTGATAATAAATAAAATATAACATGGTATGCAACCAGCTTGACAAGTATGTCACGCAGGTTGCATAACCAACTTATTTTAAGTGATCACAAATTTACGTTGCAAAACTTACATTGCCTTGCTGTGCTAAGTTGAAGCCGTCGATAAAAGCTTGCTGGAACTGGCCGCTATTTTGTTGGATCTGTTGTCCCCCAATGTCTTGGGTGGCTTCCTCAGGGTTGAACGGTGCCAGCACCTCATTTTTGAGGGGCTTTTTCTTTCCTGTTACAAAACCAATACTCGGCTTGGGGAAGTCGTAGCCGTCCAGGTCACCAATGGTGGGCGCCTGAACTATAACACCAGAGTCGTCGCTCTTGATTCCTACAGGAGGGAGGAATTGTTGAGTTATAGTTAATGATTCAGACTCGTGAGCAGAGGCGCTTGTTAATGCAGCGCTTTGCTGGGTATGGATGCAGGGAGGAGCGCTTTGGTACGCCTGATTGATTAGGTTTGCGTTGCTAGCCAGCGACTGCTGATTGCGCTGGTAAACGCTGAAGGGTGATCCAGGGGTGGGGTAGCTGTATCCCTCATTATCTGAAGGGGCTGGTGAGGGTTGCGGTCTTTGAGGGAGCTCAAAAGGAATGTTTGGTTTTGGATAGTTGTAGCCGCTGGTGCTGGCAGCAGAAGAGGTGACAAAAGACGAATCGTCTGAGCCGGCACCAAATTGGGCACCCTGAGTGGTTTGGATAAAAACAGGCTCCTGAGTGGTAGAGGGAAGAAAGAAGGGCACCGAGGGTTTTGGATAGGTGTAACCAGACTCCTCATTGACACCTGAGGCGGCAGGTCTTTGGGTGGTGACCGGTTGGAAAGTGGTGGTGACCGGCCTAAATGTTGTAGTCACAGGTCTTCGGGTGGTGGTAATAGGTGTTCTAGTGGTGGTTGGCAGTGGGAAGGCGACAGAGGGCTTTGGGTAGTTGTAGCCAGACTCCTCATTTACATCTGAAGCGGCAGGTCTCTGGGTAGTTACTGGCCTGTAAGTCGTGGTCACAGGCCTGAAGGTCGTGGTCACAGGTCTTCGGGTTGTCGTGGTTATGGGCTGCCTAGTGGTAGTTGGGAGGGGGAAGGCGACAGAGGGTTTGGGGTAGTTGTACCCTTCAACAGAGGGGTTCTGGTTGGAGGAACCAAAATCGTTGGGCCTCAAGGTGGTGGTGTATACTGGCTGTCGAGTGGTTGTTGGCGCCCTGGTGGTAATGGGTTGCCTGGTGGTTGTGGGTATGGGAAGGCCAACCGAAGGCTTCGGATAGCTGTAACCATCGGTTTGGCTGAAGGAGGGTAGTTGGTTTGAGGGACCAGAGGCAATTGGCCTCTGCGTGGTGGTTACAGGGCGCCTTGTAGTGGTGATTGGACGCCTTGTTGTGGTAACAGGGCGCCTTGTGGTAGTTGGAATGGGCAGTCCTACAGAGGGTTTAGGGTAATTGTAGCCATCGGCTTCACTAAAAGAGGGGAGTTCATTTGAGGGTCCAGCGGAAATAGGTCTCTGAGTGGTTTGGATGACCGGTCGGCGAGTGGTAGTGGTCGTGACAATAATAGGACGGCGGGTTGTGGTTGTGGTCACAATCGGACGACGAGTGGTGGTGACAGGTCTGCGGGTCGTGGTTGGAATAGGAAGGCCAACAGAGGGCTTAGGGTAGCTGTATCCATCAGCCTCGCTGAAGGACGGCAACTGGTTTGACTGACCTGCATCGATAGGTCTTCTAGTGGTAGTTGTGGTTACGATTGGCCTCCTAGTCGTGGTTGTTGTCACAATGGGCCTTCTGGTGGTGGTCGTAGTTGGCACAGGACGGCGCGTTGTGGTTGTAACCGGCCGACGGGTGGGGTCAGGCAGACCAACTTCAGGTTTGGGGTAGCTGTACCCGTCAGTTTCACTGAACGAAGGGAGGTTATTGGAAGGGCCGGCCGCAATGGGACGCTGCGTGGTGGTCGGTTTGGGATAGTCGTAGCCTTGGAAATTATTATTAAAATTAGATTGCTGTTGGATTTGGTTCGTGGGAATTTCAGCAACAACTATGGGACGGAAGGTTGGTCGGGGCGTCGAGGGAGCTGGCGGCGGTGGAGGAGGGCGCGTCACCCTTTGAGGTGGAAGGTAAGTGCTGGGAGGCTGAGTGACTGGTCTGCGAGTTGTGGTCGGAGGAGGTGCATCGGTTGGAGGCAAGTAAAGACGGCTCTCGTCCTCGTTACTTGACGCTGGTTGGAAGTTGATGTCGTTTTCGGAGTTGATTTGAGGGTTGCTTTGGGTTCGCACCACGGGAATGCGCTCGCCCTTGTAAGGAATTACCACACCTATTTCGCTATTTTTCGCATAGTGGGTCTCAGAAGCGGCGCAGTCGACGTTGTTCCACCACTCGCACGCGAAAACCTCTTGGTTGAAAATCGTCCCGTTCGGACAAAGGAAGGACTGCGGTGACGAATCGTCTCCGGTGCAAACGTGGAATGCTTGGCAGCCAGCCTGAATGTCTGCATAGTAACCTAAAAGTAAAATATAAAAATTAGTTTTAAAGTTAATAAAAATTAAAACGCGGTGAGCTTTTATATTGACTTATAATAAATTTGCATATAATTATTCTTATAATTAATAAAGAGAAAAACGCGCAGAGAAAGTTTGCTGAGGAAAATTTTCTACGCTCGTAAAATCTTCAGCCAAAGTGAGTTATTAGCAAAGTAAATATGACGCCCAGCGGCTGCCAGCTTGTCTTTACACCGGCCAAGCTATAGAAATGATGCTAAAACAGTCGCGTCGAGCTTGTCTGACAGCTTATTGTCATTCATCAACGAATCAAGCATTCAGTGATATATCCGCATTCCTTATCGACCTTATCTCTGCATATAATAAAATCGATATTTTTTACTCCAGTTGAAATATTTAAAACATAAAACAGGATAGGAAAAATCAAATTAATCAATCTATAATAAAAACATATCCGTTTGATTTTATATTGATTAGGCCAGTTGGCAAATTTACTCTTTATAAAACCCGTCAATGATTTATTGCTCCTTTTACGATCAGCCCACAAACTTACGAGCTCACGTTTTTTACTCAACTTAATTAGAAAATGTTTTCACGAGGTTACGGCGGGTCAATTCATACTTTCCTCAGCAGAATGCGATTCAACGGTAACACACAAGAAGCGCCCGCGATTGCTGCGATCAGGAAGTCGTTTAATTTTATTTGACTTATATCCATTTTGTTAATTTAATTTTAACCCGTGTCACTATCCTAATTGATGGACTGAAATGATTAGAGCTCATTTGATCAGAGATGTATTTGTTGAATACTTTTCAGCTTTACGGCAGTAGTTTGCAGACTGAAAAAGCACATCAAATTGACGCACTCAGAATCAATTTATTCAAATTGCTTGCTTTCCCTGAGTGCTTTTTACTCCACTCAATTTTCAAAGCAGCAATCAGTGTAAATCATTTTTATAATCAATCATTTTTTTTATGCATATTGATTGTGAATGAGCATTACTTCAAAATTCCTTTTAATAGAATGGAGCAAGAATGTAAAAAAGAAAAATACGTATAATTAATTATTTTATAACTGATGTACTGTACGGTCAATTAATTTAAAATACATACAATTATGTAAGAAAAAAAGAATATGTAATTGTGCATTAATAAAAAAATTTACTTTGCTTGCGCACCTTAAAACTCATCCAGTCTGCTGGCTTATAAAAAATCTTAATCACAATAATGTTGACAAAGAAGCGAACTTCTTAAAGAGAAAAATAGTATCAGTAGCCTGGCTGACTTAATTAGCTGGTTGCGTAAGTCAATTAACGAAGACCTCGCGTAATTTATGATCCTGCCGATGTAAGAATTTTTTGTGTCCCACTCGTCGGTCGATATGGAGAAAGCAAAGTGTCTGCCTTATAAGAAGAGGCGGCCGAAGAAGATCTGTATAGGCGAGGGCGAACCAGTTGTCTTCTTCATCGCGACCACTTTCACTTATGCACGCGCGCTCGCTCGCTCGGCGGCCAGACGGCCTTGCTTTATGGTCCATCAGGATAACCTACGGACCACTCGCATCCTCCAGAGTCAAAAGAAACATACCGACCGACTGTGACAGAAGGAAAATTACACACACGCGCTATGGCGAAGGGAAAAACATCGCGATGATACAATCTGCTCGTTTCATCGTTATTTATGTATAATAACAAGGCAAGGACTTTTTTTACGATCAGCTTTCGCCATTGAACGTTTTTCGACGTGGGAAAATCTGCAGCTCCCGATTGCGACGGTCAGATCTTTTTGTCCAATTTTCCTTTTTATATGCTCAAGGCGATTTGAGCAAAAAAAAATGAACTTGTTACATGTTGCGAAAGGTTTAAACTGTTAATGGAATTTTAATATGATGCCAACGAAATTGTTTTTTAATTTGCACTTGAATTTTTTTACGATTTGTAAGTTGACTCTCGATGGTCATACGCTACTCTGTCCTAAGTGAGTTGGCAAAGCACTTATTTCACAAGAAAATTAGTGAATGGATGCATCACGTGTTTATTGACTTGTCAATGACGAAAAGAGCCATTCGCAGATATAGCAGATTTATACGCCAATGTATTCTTCTCGCGATATATAATTTTGAATGCATTCTCTTCAACAAAAATGCAAATTTACTTGCGAGGGCCAAAATTAAATTTTAGTGCCTCTTGAAGAAGTGTTTTGACTTTGACATTTACGCGGCGCAATAAAAGTACGGCGACAGATTTATCTTTCAAGTGCCGATCAAATGCAGAAAGGTGTAAACTAGCGAGAAAAAGTTGGCCGGCAAGCGGCATTTGCAATTTGGTACGGCGTTACCATTAAGGCGCTTTTTCTCTCTGCTCAGCTCGTCAGGTGTCAAAGGTCACGCACGCAAGCCGGAATCAGGGAGTGGGCGCACACTTGTATATACTTTCTAACATCTTGTGCGGCATCCACGCACACGGCGAAATTTAACTCTTGTTTTGACACCTATATTTAGCAGGACCAACCCAAAATTGGGAGAAAAATCTATTAAACAATGTCAATAATGATAAAATTAAAGGAGTTAAAATTGATAATTTAACATCAATAATTGGAATGAAGTAAAATAAATCGTTTAGTATCATAAAAATTTTGATTAAAAATAAACTTTTCAATTTCCAATTAAATGTTCAAATTAAATGCTGAAATTTTTATTTGTAAAATTAATAAGTTATTTATTTTTATTTAAATTGCAAATTTTTCTCGAAACAATCAAATCTGCTAAAAGACTGAATGTGCGCACCTGTTGTTTCATAGATAAAACAAAAACTTTCATAAGTCTTGACCAAATTAGTCTTGCCCGGCAGCACATAAATTTTACTTTGACACGTAATGATGCTCTGTGATTGACTTGAGCAATGTTCTTCATAAGGCAAGAAAAAAGTATTGAGATGAGCTCAACCTGACCCAAAGCGTCAGATCCAAATCGAAAATGTCAAAATGTGCTGAATTTCTCCCCGACCGCCCGCAGTGCTAGTTTGACCTACAACTAATTATACGCTTCAAACTAAACGTACAAGCCAGCAACATTTTATTTATGCATTTTTTTTCTCTGTATGGAGATCATCTTCTAATTTTGCATCGAATTAAATTCAACAGGTGCTGGTGATTTTTAATCTGCTGGAAGCATTTTTTTTTATTTTTAGATGAAATCTCGCCTCCGTTTTGACCTTCCACTTCAGGAGGTTATCTCTTAAAATTCGCATGTAGTCAGCGCTCACCGCAGCGCGAATGCTCTTCCATATAATATTTTTAAAGAAGCCGAGAAAATACACGATTGTTTGCAAATGTATCACTTTCTCTCTCTGTATGATCTAAGAGCCCAGGAACATTCCTTGCCTTCGGACAATATTTTTTTTCGAGAGGAGAGTATATATATTTATAAAAAATATCATTTATTCAAAAGAAAACATTAAACTCCGTAGTCTCCGTACTGCAGCTAACTTCTTTTCATCAAACACTTGAACAATTGAAATGCAAATAGAAACTTCTTGCAGATTTCTAAAAAATTCCACCTGTTTATATTTATATCACTGTACATTTAACATAACTTTTCTTTGATTTTTGGCACTCAATAAATGTATGCACTCAAAAAATAAGATGCATGTCAGATGCATGTATAAAAATTGAATCATCATCGTTATTTAATAAAAATGTTTTGAAAAATCTTTAGAATATACAGCGAAAATAAATTTTATTCCTTTGTCAAAAAATTTCTACCCACCAAGAACTTTTAACTGCACTTAAGTTAAAATCCTGAAAATTCAACTATAAAGCTGGACTCTCATTATTTTAATTTCACTATTAACAAATTATACATAAATATATGATAAACAATTATGCTTTTAACCAGGAGCTAAGTATTTTTATCTTGTAAACGGAGTAAAATAAATTGGTTGAATGTTAATGTTGTAATAATTATAAACAAAATAAGTTATTTGTTATGATGTAATGTTAAAGTTACGTACCAACTATTCTACCCTGACAGGAAAATCCTGTTTCGGGAGGTGTGTGGTGCAGTGGGTAGTCTTCTCCCGGTTCTCCAGGGATCGACTCTCTCAGGTCCCAGTGCTCGTGATGGTCGTGGTGGTCTCCTCCGTGGTGTTCTCCACCTTTGTCCTGGTGAGGCTGTTCAAGGCCTATGATCTGCTGCGATCCTTCGTTGGCGTCCGAAAGCAGATTGCGGTCCTCCTCAGGTGAGAGGTATTGATTGGAAGGGCCCTGACTAGCCTCAAGAGCAGGGTCAGAGGGAAGGTACTGGTTATCAGGGGGCAGGTATTGAGAGCTGCCCCGAGATTGCTGGGGTGGCTGGTAATTGTAGTTCGCGTTCTGCTGACCTTTGGCGATAAGTGCAAAGGCCAGAAGACCTGCAAGTGGAAAAATAAAAGCAGAAAATTTAATTGAAGAATAACGAACAAGGAAAGTAAAAGTAAAAATGGTATCAGCATCAGCACAAAAATTCAGTTCTCATTATATAAAAAAAGCGTATATGTTTATTCCCATGGGATTAATTTGCTGAATATTAATCATACTGTTTACTTTCAACAACTTTAATATTTGAATCTTTGTCAATCCATACTTTAAAATCATATATGCTGACAAAAAATTATTTTTTAAATTTTTAATATATTAAATAAATTGACATAATAATTATTTGTGTTCATTTTTAAAAGCTGAGAAAATTTTAAAATACAAAAAAAAATAAAAATTCATTATATTTTATAATTTATTAATTTAATAAACTTATTAACACAACTTTAAAACTGATAAAAAATTTGTATACAAAAAAAATTAAATATAATTATATAGACTTTTGGATTCAATAATTTTTAATTATTCAAAGTGAAAAAGGCCGTTGATTTGGAGTCAATTTAATATAAGCAAACAGAAACAAAATTGAAAGTAAAATAAGAATAAAATTACGTCCCTTATGCGACTTTGTGAATTGTAACAAGGTCATAATTGCAAAGTTCACGTTATTTCACTTTGTTTCTGTGAATGCAGCAATGACCATGCTCTGCGGCACATTGCCATATTTATAATTATTTTTTTCTAACGCTTTGTTGTTTCTGTGAAGGCAGTTGATCTCTGGAGCCACCAGCACAGCAAAAAGCTAATTGCAATTATGATTTTTGGTTAGCACGCGACCGCGCAACGAAAGGGGTTGGCGTGAGAAAATCGCGGCACACGTCGCAGGATTGTATTTAAATGAGAGACGGCGCAGCGTTTTCCGAGCGACAAACTTATCTGCGTGAAATTATGTATTATGAGACGCGATGAAGAAAGCTTGTGATAACCCTTTTACAATTCAAACTCCCACAGACATTATTTCATAAAACACACACCGTCAGCAAAATAGTATTTTGAATTTGTTGCTTATAAAAATGTACAGTGTCGCCGAGGATGAAAGACTTTCCTCTCTCGGCACGCACTTTTATCTTCTTCACTTCGTCTAATCTATGAAAAATGTTAATAAAACCCAAAAGCTTCCTTGTTATTTATTATGCTTTCCTTTCTTCCCGCGCTGAAACATCATCTAGGCCGTGATGTTTCACATTATGCAATGGGAACAGTGGAAAGATTTATGTTGTATTAAGCCTATACATTATGGCCAACCATAAAACTTCCTTTGCGCTTGTCAATGAGAAATTATTTTTCCCTCTTCTTACAAACTGCCCACCGTGATTATGTTTGAAAAATACGAGACTTAATTAATGAAACACGCGTGTTACTTTTTAAAAGAGAGAAGAACGGCGAGATGATGGATTTGTGGGTGGCGCGGGTGAAAGAGCTCGGCCGAAATTTTATGCTGCGTTTCCTCAATTTCACGGGATGAGCAAACAAAATCGTGCACTTACCTCGCAAGCACACATCCACAAAACTAATGAGCGAGTTGAGAAAAATGTAATGATGCCAAGCTCCTGCACACGGCTTAATAATAATTATATTCACTTTCGGTGCTCATCCTCAATTTAAGCTAATTCAGATTCAAGAACCGTTCTAATCTTGACATGAAAATGAATTAGAAAAAAAGAAAGCTTAATTAAGTATTTTTATATTTTTGTGTGTTCTCATATTTTCAATAATTTGATCTTTCAATGGTTAATGTAAACAAAAGTTTTAAATAAATTTTTAACGTCAGTGGTGTCCATGATACAAGATCCAACAATGAAAAAAAGTCACCTACTGTTAGAAAAATTTATTCGGACTCTCCTTGACTATCCTATTGATGCTTTTGGTTACAAAATTGAAAAGTAAAAAAAAAAATGCAAATTTTTAATGTCATTGAATTAATGAAGAACAATGAAAAGTGACATAAATAAGAAATAAAAATTTCACAACACTAACGAAATATTGTAATAAATTAAAATTTGCAGCAAAAGACTAAAAGTTATTATCTTTATCAATATTGTACTGTCTCATTGATTTGCAAAAAAAATTAAGACGCACATTAAAATTATTTTATCTTCGTTCTGCAATAATTGCCAAATTATAATTTTGAGAATTCCTTTTACAAAAGAAATATTTTTTCTGAAAATTTTATTAAGCATTTATGCTTAAACACAATTATGAAATTCATACATAAAGAGGCAAATTGCTCAGAGAGTTAGAAATGAACTATGTAATACATAATGCACAAAAAAGTACTTGCCATAAACAACTGCTAATCTAGTATTCCACATTTTGGGCGGCGATCACTAACGAAATAACGCACAGTTCTTTGCAGCTGGACGTTCACAAAGACATTGCGACTTCTTGCGCGTGCGATATGGGAAAAAACTCGCCTACGGTGGCAGATCCACCTTTTATACTTCGTGGAGAGCGCCGGGCAGAAGCAGCAGCAGCAGCGGCACCTCCCTCTCTTCTTACTCTCCGACAAGTCCATCTGCGGCTTCTGGGGATGCCGAACATATTGCATAACCAGCACCTGACAGATGATCTCAAATCATGAAGATCGGTTTCAGGCTTGACCCTGACTGGATGTCATCAAAGTGACCGATGGAATTCAAGCGTTTCGTAAGATGCCCAGAGTTGGTATGAATAAATTATCGAAAACAATTTGGGCTGAGGCTGTTTAGATACGGTCATCGGCGACCGTCAGATGAAAAGTTTAATTATAGGATGCGAGAATGAAATCGAAACTCTTATTTATTAAAGAGACGTCAGGTGTATTTTTAGTTAATTTTGTAGTGGTTCGTCTTAATGTTTTTAAAAGCCAAGGTGCTTCTGGCTCGAGTGTGTGATTATCCGCTCATTATTATTATTACTCGCAGAAATCCCGCTGCACTTGAAGAAGCTCGCTGCTGGTGTGTATTATGCAGTCGGAACCCTTCATTAACAGGCACTTGTAATTATAGCATCTCACCTCCATTATCATCCTGTAACCTTTACTCCTACTCGGCCAACGCGCGGCACAGTTTGTTTAATGCTTCTATGAGATGCCCTATGAACTTGATAATAACGTCATTTGTACCAGACTTTTTAAAGTAACATATTGTTGCTCGATAAAAATAGTTTTGTAGCTGAGAATATTTAAATTGTTATGCCTAATCCTTTTTTTAATTTTTATTAAAAATTGATAAGATTATAAGGTCAGAAATTAGAGTATTTGTTTTTACTAAAAAATTTTAAAGCGTCATATTATTTTATAAATTTATATTATATTTAGCTATCAAATTTAACAACCTTCAAATTTAATTTCACCAAGCACATTTATATGTCAAAAAGCGCCAGCAAAATTTAATAAAAATATATTGACATTTTTTTTTCTAAAATTGAAACCAAGTTTCGTAAAATTTTAAATTCAAATTTGGAAATTAATCCTTCTCATTAACTTATCACTGTCGTAAATATTGACTTTATGGAAATTTTTGTAATCAAATATCAAATTGCACTCACCTTGCCGTAACAATTAATCAATTTGGCAAATGATTGAGATTTAAAGCATAATAAATTATGTACTTTTGCCAAAATATTGACTTGTTGCACACATCTGAAGAGGTTTCTTGCTAGACATATATTTTTTTTTTGCTTCTTAAACATTTCTCAAACTTTTATAAGAGGACTTTTCCTGAATCGTGTGTCATCAATTTGTTTCCTGGAAACTGGTTTTGTATCAACGAAATTTCACCTTTTGGCGGAAGAGAGTGAGTATTACTTAAATTTCACAATGAGAGACACAACTCCAAATTTCCCACCGATTTAGAATTTTGGAGTGATAAAAGGGTCACGACTTGCGGGGACCACAGGGCAGTCATTACTCGATCTACGCACACGCAATAATAACCCGTCGCACACTCTGACAGATCGCACGCAATAGGTGTGGAATTCACACCTCTACCCAAGGCAAATCGTCCGACTCCAAAACACGTCTGCGGAGTTGCGAAATGAAATCAACAAAAACTTTTCAAACTTTATAAAATGGTATATAAAAAAAAAAACTCGCGGATCACGCGTGATTTCTCAAGACGCATAAAAGACAATAAAGTTGACGATTTAAAGAACGGCCGCCACCAGCAGATTTTTTTTATCACATTTCTTCACAAACTCGCAAAGGAACATCTCGAATTTCTGCATAACATCACGTAAGCCGCACTTTCCCCAAAAATAGAGGCGACAAAAAACTTCTTTTGATAATGTATTTATCTTCTTATTAAAATGCACCGTGTGAGGAATTTGATAGCCATAAATCTAGAAAGATGCGGCAAATAAATCAAAGAAGGCGGGAATTTTCTCGAGAGAGATTTTCAACCATAACCAACATTAACCTTTCTTCGGAGCCGCGCATCTCTACTTCTCTCTCAATTATCTGCATGCATGCAAACAAGATATTTTGTTCCATAAAGTTTAATAGAGAAAAAGTGGTCTAGATAGAAATCTTCGCCTCCAACAATTTATTAATATAATATGATCTTTTTGAATACGCCTGTGGGTAATTTTTTGGTAATGCTGCACGGCATGCACGGTTCTGGCAATTCATGATAATAATATCAAAATCAACTCTGTAAATTCAAATTTTGTTAACGAGCGAAAAAAATACGTGGAACTTAAAACTTGTCAATGCCTAAAAATATAAAATTTGATCGTTACACCTTTCTACATTTTAATGTTGGTGCGGCTCAAATTAATAATTAACACTAGTATTTCAGATATTAAATTGTTCATCTTCATCATTAAATATAAAAAAATGGTATTGATATTAATTGATACTGGATAAATGAAAAAAATTAACAAAATCACAAAATTTCCTGCTTGCATGGTATAAAATGCAATAATAATTATCGTGCAATTTGCATAGCATGAGTTGTTACCTATTATGTAACGTGCAGAGGCTGCGTGATTACCGCTTGTTGATGTAATTCCACTAATGAACAATATAAAACATGAGAACAATTTGCATCATTAAAAATAAAGGCAAAGACTAACGCATAATGGAAACAAACGATTATAACAATCAGCAAATCTCCTCTTTCATTCATAAAAAAAACTCGGTATGTTCATAACTTTCTTCCACATAGTGTTGACAGCTCATTACTTAACCTTGCAATGGCCAAAATACTATGCTAATTACCAAAGAAAGAAAAACTTTCCTCTATTATCTAAACGCAATAACGATTAACACATATTGGTGCAATTCAATTTTTCCTGATCATCCGACTGCAAGCAAAAGACGCCTAGTCACCATTTGAAAATATTTTGATCGCGAGACCCAATCAATACACGGAATAACGAAGGTGAGAGATTCACGTCCATTACTAGAGTGATGGCAAATTTCACAACATTTTACGTCCTCCAATAGAGTCTGAATTTTTTGTGTACCTCTAACAAAAGCCTGCAGCAGCGCAACAAAATTATGTGCGCCTTTATGCTCCCGTCTTAAAATTGCGTAAGTGGCAAGACCATATATTGAGATCTTGAAAGTGAAGAGAGCAGATGATACCTAACTGGACTGCACATTAGAATGGCTCAGTTGGAAAGCATTCAATGATCTCTCTCACAATAATTTGTCCTCGTAATATAGCATATTAATCGAGATCGGGTTATGAATTTTAAGTTCATTTAAATATTTGCATTCAATATGCATATTTACACTTTATTATATTCAGATTATCCTTCTACATCTGCACATACTCACGGTTACCTATGGCTATAGTTAATAATTATTATTTAATTTTTGGTTCAATAAATTTTTAATTTTTCCCCCTTTTATATTGAAAAATGGCAGCTCTTCTTGGGTTTTGCAAGTCGCTTATTTTTTCATAGGAAAAAAATATTCTGCTCTTATTTTTGACTGTTTTTGACAAAGAATCAGTGCGACTCACAAAAACCAGCAAGGAAGTGTCATTTTCCAATTAAAACAACAGGAAACAGCTCTCCACTGTGAATAAATACTTCATATGCGTTTTCAAGTCTTTGAATCGCTAATACGGTGCTCAATGTTGAACAGCTAGATAAATTAATAAAGATAAGGAAGCCTAAAGTTATTTAAATTGTTCTACCAGGATTATTTCATTTGTGTTTAAATTTTATACGAATTGATTTAAATTATCCCATGCACTTAATCCCAAATTTTTAATTACAATAAGTATTTTTGTTGAATTCTAATATGAATGCAGCTTATGAACTATCTTCTCGCGTGACATGTGAGATCAAGAGTTTAATACTCATAAGCTTTTAAGCGCTGCTAAAGCGTTTAGTGTGTTCAGATTCCATTATCCGAACCATTAATAAAGCTACCGAGTGTCATTGAATTCCGATTGTACAATAAAATAAGCGAGATGCTACCCAAGTTTATCTTGAAAAGTTGCAACGATTAATTTGCAGCATGTCTCAAGAGTGGTCGTCATTCATTTATCCCCCTTATTCAGCTAAACGAATCTTGTCTCTTCTCCCTTTCAATTTAAAACTCGATTGATCAAGACACCTGCGCTTGAGATATAAAATTGTGAAAAGTGGGCAACACTTCAAGCTAAATTAGTTATGCAGAAAAGCACAATGGCGAGTGTGTAAACAGCGCATTTACATAATTGCACGTTTTGAAACGCGAGATTGAGAGGTGAGGCTGAGCACTTAATGGAAACGCGCATCTTTCCCGCCGCCATCGCACCACACACGATTTCAATAAGTGAACCATCGCTATCGAAAAATTGCTAAACGACTCAAATCAAACTTGCCATTTTTTTGCGGCAGAGCTACTTTTTAATTTCCCTTTGGATGGAAAAAATATCACTTGAGAGGGATATATGCAAATTTACATAGGCGAAATTAGTGAAGTCATCTTCTTTCCTCGCAAGATTTTTTTCTCCGGAGCAGGAAAATTTCATTCCACCAAATGAAGCGGAGATGTGTGACGTGGTTTTATTGATTAACTCAAAGTAAATACTCAGGATTCCATCTTAACGTGCAGGGAGATGCACCATCAAGATATTGTGAAACTCACGCGTGCTCATCTCTGCGCCATAGGATCCTCCTTAGATGAAAAAGCGTTTATGACAGTAATGAGCTGTCAGTAACGTGAATTGCTTTATTGTATAACGAGCGCAGCGGTCTATAAAAATGTCTTTCACGATTAGTACTATTTTTATTTTTAATGAAGAGTATGCTTTCTTAATTAAAATTGGGTTTAGAGGTTTCAAGTTACGCATTTTCCTTCTTAATTGGCATTTCTTTCTTACTTCACAACAAGCAAATTTAGCTCTTCAAATAATATTTTTACGAGTGAGAAGTGATTTTTTTGAATGAGTTGCATTCCTGCACCTCGTTTAATCAGACACACAAGTATTTCGCAAAGGCCGCTCAAGACTGCATAAGAAAAAATGAAAGGCAAAAGACAACAAGCTCATAAAAAAACGAAAATATGTGCAATGACAAATTTTAGGACGTTGTCGGTATGCGGCTCTCCCAGGTGATTATCAATCAAGGAGAGTCGTTTTATAACTTAATCAAAGGGAAATCCGTCGTTGTCAATATTCAAAAGTCAAAAAAGCAGAAGCCGCTCCGAGAGAGTGAAACTTTTCTTCTGTCTTTGATTCTAAAACCAGTTTTGGTGCGCTATGGTTTATGGGAATCGCACATTTGTTGCGTTTGACATCTTTCGAGAAACACTTCCTCTTTAATATAAAATGCAGACGTGGAAAAATGCCAAAGATGAGAGGCGCTGCAGCAATAAAGAAAGAAAAAGAGAGTGTCTCGCTAACTCTCTCGCAGAACACGGGCGATAATATTCCGCTAAATAAACATCAGATTTGAATTTAATAAATTGTATTTTTCTTTTAATCCGCTACGTGTTTCGGCAGTAACAATTTTTTTATACAAGTCTGACGGCGAGCGCGTGTGTGTCCTCTGCACTTTCACTGCCGCGTGATGAAGAGCGCAAAGAGATGCTGCCGTGTGCGACCTTAAGAAGAGCTGCAGAGAAAAAAAAAATACAAATCCCCACTCGCGAGATGTCGGCGGTAATGAATAGCTGACCAATATTACGACAATCTCGGCGGACTGACCTTTCGTCAGTTGGCGTGGATGATGCTGCTCTCGAATTGCTGAGAAAGCACGTAAAAACTGGCCCCGTTGTTACCTAATGACCATGGTCCTCGCGCACAACGACCAGACCGACGCGTCACTCTTCGAAATTTATAAAAATACTGCTCGGCCCATCAATTACATACATAGAAAGATTTAGCGCTCAATTACGATGTTGACATAAATGCCGACAAGAGTCTTGTCGCGCTCGGTGCAATTCGACCCCGGACTGGATTAAAAAAAGAAAGAAACGAGAGAGGAGACCCACCTCTTTTTCTTGAGCAATTGAGGCAAATTTTTAGAACGGACCTTTTTTGAGCAGGTCGTCAAATCTGATGAGCTCCGTCGATTGCGAAAATGTAGTTAATCGGCTTCATTAAGCCGAAAGTCGTGAATTTTTGCCAATAATTTGCATAAATCAGATTAACTTGAAATGAAAGTGATATTTCGCATTTAATTAGAGAAAACGAGCTTGATTACTTTCTTTAAATTGCTCGATCCCAGGAAGCCTTTATATAAGCGTAACAAGTGTCAATTTCACTGGCTATTGCGCTGCTCTCTTTTGACGTTTGTAATTATACAGGGATTTCCGGCTAATTAATTTGAACTTTTAAAGTTATTCTTTAAGATGCGTGTTTTAAGTTTATAAACATGCTAAGATTTTATACAATTAAAATGCAAATAATCTTCGAACAACTAATGAAACTCAAAAATTTTTAAATGATTAGCTCGGCTAAATGACTTTATTTCACCTTTTAAGTTATAAGTTAAAATATGCTAGTATATTTTAACACATAGCTGCGACAAAAACTTTAACAATTTTGTATTAAATAAAAGGGTGAGAAAGAACATCTTATACTAACATGGCTGTTGAAGCATTAAAAAAAGAAAAGTAAAAATGAATGTATTACAAAATAATCTGACAAGCTCTGCTTGTACGATTTCATCGCTGACTACCGTATCCTTCCTTGAAGACATCAGTGGCAACGGTCAGAACTCCACCCACTGGGTATTCGCTGACTTCGCAGGGACAGCTCCTGTCCACTCTCACAAATGCGATGTCGATCCACTTTTCTCCCTTTCTGGGTTGTGCCCTTGGGGTGCATCTGGTGACAGCCCAGAACGGACCCTTGGCCATCGGACTTCTCCAATACCCTTTCTTTTTAGAAGGGGTGGAAGGGTGAAATTGGACCATTCCGCCAACGTCTTCAGAGGATGTGCTTTTCAGACTGCTACTCTGGTCACTATTAAAATTGGGCACAATTAGTTTTAAACCGCCAAGTTTACAAAACAGAAGCAAAACAACGGATGTGATACTAAATTAAATCGTGAGCGTGGTGAATTAGATTAATAATTTTGGAGCACCGCTCTATTATTTCTTCCGCTCTCCAGACAATTACTAAAAGCCAATTTTCAAACCCATAATTAACTTTTGGCAAATAAAGAACGCTTCTGCTCACCCACAAGGCGATTCTGGACGCACTTTCTTTTTGGAGAGATTTCTTAATCGTCTCGGTGGATCTTCATTAATAGCACCAGGGATGCTGCTGGGCCGGGCACAGGCCTTGCGTGGAGCCTCACGCTGGGTTTGAGTAAACTGCCTGCCTCTGAAAAAATATTACCGTCAAAAAACGGGAACGTCGCAATTTTTCCTGAACGCCCAAACCTATCCATCAAGTTGTTTTGCGAACTATCACTGGACTGAACTTTGGACAAGTCTATCCTCAGTCTGCTTGGCGTAGCTGGCGGAGTCACTTGCGTAGATGCCTCCTAATTATGAAATAAAGAATTTTAAAGTTTAATATATCATTTAAAATATTTCTATTCAAGCAATTAATGCAATGTTAGAAAAATCTTATTTCCTCTTTAAAAAAATATATAAATATTTTCCTTGAGGTATTTGAGTGTTGGAAACTAAACTCGATAACTAAATTGATATAAAAAAGTGTTTTTTTTTTTAAATTTAGCACCAACTTAACTTCCGCAGTGTGATATTTAACTGTAAGTTTCGTAACAATGAATAACATGAAATTTTGCGTTATATTATTAATTTTTTTCATTTAAAAGTAATAAAAAATAATGAAACTCTGATTTGTTACACAAAAATTGATTAATGGATAACATAACAAAATAAACAATAATTTTAAAATAAAAATATATGTTTATATTAATTTATTAATATTTAATTCAACAATGTCATAAAAATAAAATTTTATGATTTATGTCAGGCATAATATTTTTTATATGCTAAAGCGTACAATGATAAAGTTAAATAACTGAAATAAATCCTTCATAGAGCGCTTTAATAAAAAGCTTGTATCTGTATGATGGACAAATTGCGTATGATGAAGTTCACCATGATAATTTTTTACGTTTTAATCAAATCATATTCTTGGAAGTAGAAAATCATCCTTTTATGACCTTCTACAATAGAAGGTTTCATTAAAAGTCGCTCATCCTCATTTCGTTTCTGCTTGCTGATTCATTAAATTTCCCACATAGGAAGTATTCGCCGCATAATGCTCCCATGAATTTTTAAAATTTATTCAATCTCGAAAAAGGACAAAAAGCGTGTAGATGCGATCTTTTCAATTTGCGGGTAAATCACCTTGTTTTGCTATGAATAATGCGGAAACGCGAGTGAGCACCAAGGGCACGCTCTGCTTATTACTCGCGTGTTAAAGAGAGGTGATGATGCGCCGTCTCGCAGTTTGACATTTAAATAACAAACCCCAGCAGAACTTTACGAGGCACCTGTTGCCATAATTGTCATTCTCAGAAGGTTTTGCCACTTTAACTCTGATTTAAATCAAGGTTTTTTCCCATTTCTAACATTTCCACGCGCACACGTGCTTCAATTTGAGAATTAATATTAAAAATCAATTGTATTATTACCCGAGTCTGATGCTCACTCCACTTTTTCTGCCAACTACTTTGGGGCAAACCACCGTCAACCACTTCGGCGCTTTCAAGTCTTTCAACCTCAGGGATCGGAGAAAGTTTTTTCTGCGAAAATTTTAATCTTGAAAATTTTAGAATTATTTGGTTGGCAAAAATTTCAAAACCTTTTGTGAATGAGATTTCGTTTTCACTGTTATTCTCTCCTCGTAAAGCTCCTGCTCGTCCTTAAAATCTGGGCTCTCCGTATATTGGCAATAAGCGTCCGCGGTTTTGGGCCTGATTATCACATTGATAATTTGCGAGCAACACGCTTCTAGCGATTTCTTCAGGTCGAGCAATGCGCAGTCCCACTTGGCCACGAGGAGTTTCTGGGCTTCCTTTTGAATAAGAGATATTATTAGAGAAACTGCGGTTTTAAAATAATTAAAACTTCTTTCAAAATTTTACTTGCCAGATTACTCGAGCAAGATTCAATTTGCTGAGAACGGATATCCAGGAGGGCCGCAGTTAGATCTTCTAATTGTTGCACGCCTTCAGCTCCACGCATGTTTTGTTCCGTCATATAAATAAGTAATATTACTTTGAGTTTACTTTTCCTCCAAAATTAAAAAGAAAATAAAACGGATTGGATTGAACGTCGAAAAGCTGCAACTGGGATCAACAAGCAACAATGATATCTTATATGACTTGCAACAATGTAGTCATTAAAATTCTTGTAATTTTTTTTTTAACCATTTAGCCTGTTGGAAAAAATTTAATTCTTGCTGATTTTGTTTTTTGACCATGATTTAATATTTATATTGTATTATTTCCTTAGATATATTTATGATGCCGGCGGTACAATTAGTAGACCTCTGCTCATTTTTAATGCACCCATTATTAAGCTTTATTTTTAATTTTCAATATTTTGTTTTAATTGAGCAGAAGAAACAATTAAGATAATCAATTGGACAAATAAACAACAATTAAAACAACAAAAAAAGTATTTTACACGTCATCCTTTTGCCATCAAATGTGTATGTAGTATTTAAGCAGAGACGACCGGGAGAATTACTCGCTGCTCACAGTAATGCTTTCGTGATATATTTTTTTAAATTAATTTCAAAAAAATATTAATTATAATATAAATGGTGTTTTTAATTTAAAGTCGGCTTTTCCTCGATGGATTTAGTGAGTTGTTTATTTATTAAGAAGGACAATATCCTGCTCAAAAAAATAAACAACTCGCACAACCCATCAAGGAAAAGTCGAATTTAAATTAAAATCACCACGAATCAACCCTCAATCCTAAAATTATTAAAATTCTACTACAAAAAATAATATAATATACATATATTTTTTTTAATTACTATTTACTATTTTCCCTATTTTCCTTCTTCAATTGAGAAATAAAATAATTTTTAATTTTGTTCTATTATGAAATTCCTAATTTAATTTTCCAGCCTTTGTCGCCTTGGAAAAGGTAATGTAAAAAATATAATCTCTGTTAGAGAATATTTTTCTGAGCATCTCTAGACTCTAGCGCAAGAAAAGTTTCATTTTTAATTCATTTACCCTGCCAAACGCGCCCTTTGCAGGCGATGTTGGGAACTAAAATTCTTGCAGTGACTATTTTGGCGGCCACCGGCAGAGGGCAGCATGTGTCAGTCAAAATAGGCAGTTGGCAGTGCAGTGAGTGTGATGTGGTGGTGTCCGACAAAAATCCGGTTTTAATTGTCAATGTTGAGAGGTAAGCGGATCAAAGGCGGCCCACGGGCCGACCGGACGGTGTCCGGCGTCGCTGGCAAGCGGGGGCGCGGTCGGCGGGCCGGGGGGCGCCGGCCGCGGCCCCGATCGCCGCCGACCTTCCGTTAAGCCCAGATGAGACGGCCATGATGAACCGAGTTTCACGTCGACGACAACCTGCACCGTGCAGTGTTTTGAGCCGTTTTATTGCCGATGCACGACTGCGTCGGCACGATCGGCGCCGACGTGTCTCTGCTGTCACTTGAGGCGCCGCGTATCGGCGGGTCGCGGCGCCGACGGAAATCAAAACGGTCGCACAGGGAACTGCGCGAACGTGCACCGCCCTCGCTCGCTTCCTGGAATTTGATCGTTTTGGTCGCCACTCGCAGGCCGGATAATTCATAAAAAATTCATTTATTTATACGAACCGTGCCAAATTTTGTCCTTTTCAATAAATACTTAAAACTTTCTTTAGAATTCAAAAGAGGAATTTTAACAAATTGTTTAAAAAAAAGAACAAATTTATATTAATATTATTATTATTATTATAATTTCTTCACCTTTGGTGTAATTATGAAATTTAATTGGAATTTCTTATTGAATTGACACTTGAGTTACAGTTTTGAGTGGCACGGGAGGTGACGTCACGGTAAAAAGCATCACAGCTGCACGCCCTATTTTTTCGCGCCCGAAACTGGTCTTGCCACTAAACTCAGTGAGCTCTTCCCCCTTTGTTCACTTTTGTTGGCTCGGCAGCGGCCTTTCCACCGCCAAATAAGCTAATGAGAGAAATAAAGACTAACGACTTGGTACTTCGGTACACATCTGTCACGTGCCACACAGAGCTTTGCAAGTCGCGATTTTCAAGCGGATATTGCAGTTGCTTTTACGAGGGTGGCGTGAGTTTGAGCACTTCAAGTCAATTTCGCATTAGTTTTTTTATTATTATTATTTTGCTTAAGCTGTAAAAGCTATTTCAAATGACACCACAAGGGATCTTTGCCACACATTTATATAAGATAAGAGGCAGTAGTAGATTAAAATTGTTTGAGTGATTCACGTCATTAATTGACATTATTCTATTTTTATTCGTTTTATAAATTTAAGATTTTTTGTTTTACGTTTAAATTTATATGCTTAATTTCAGTAATGACAAAATTAGATATAGATAAACAATTTAAAATCTAGAATACATTTATTTTGCATTTTAAAATTGATTTCCCCCACTCAATTTACCTATTAATGTGTTTATGCTCAAACCTAAAATCAAATCATTTAAAATTTTCTAATAAAATGATATTTTCAAGTGGATAAAGAAAATTCCTTTATGTTGTATTTTAAATATTTTTTCCCTCATTTTTTTTTTGCTGATAACTTTGTTCTTGATTTGTTAGTTCCGTACCCTTCATAAGTATAAATCATATTATTTTTGGAACTAGGAAATGTTGAATGAAAATAACGTCTGCTGAATTAAAATAATTTATAATTTTTTTTTTACATTTATGTCGATAGCAAATTAAAATGAGAGAAAGTTTTTATGTAAGAATTTTTAACGAAAAATTAGTAATCAGCAGTTTAATGTTGAAGTCAGTTGAAGTTTTAACACAATTTAAATTTTGAAATTCGCTCGCAAATTTTTGTGTGGTCAATTGGCTTTAAGAAGTTTAATTTGATTTGTTTTGATACCAAACGTACCATTGCAACTTGGGCTTTCTTAACATCTGAATTGTGAAAAGCTAATGAGCTTGAATTTTGAAATTGAAAATTTTATAATTATGAACGTTAAATTGAAAACGTATTTTTTCAATTAGATAAAAATTAATTACATCTCTCTTGAAATTTAGTTTAATTCTGACCCGTTGTTGTTGTTGTGAATCGCAAAAAACACTTGGTAGAGTCAAAATGCAAAAGAGGTCCGGCGCTTGAAACCGAAGATGTCGCTGGGTCGGCGCGCATATCAAGTGGTGCAAAAAATATCAATTTCAGCCTCGCCGGCCGGTGTCTCACGCCCTTCCCTCCCTCCCTCCCTCCCCGGGTCTAATTTGGTTTCATCAACTTAATTTCCTGCAAATTCGACGCATCTGCTTTTGTCCTCGCTAAATTCAATCACTTTTCGGGCCGAAACGCAGGGGTGCTGGTTAATGGCGCCTCATTACTTCAATTAGGCGAGGGCTTTTCCCACCGACCCCGTCTGGCTCGCGATTTATTGACTCTGCGATTTTCCGTCTCGCCGCCGCCGTCGCTGAATTTGCAAAGAGCCCTTCTGTCGACCACTTCTGCATTAACCACTTGACCGTAACTTCCTTTTACCAAATATATTTATTTACCCTCTTATTTTTTTCTTGCAAATTTTAAATTCAAGGAATTTGACATTTCTATATATCAAGTTCTGTGGGTCTCATTTAATTAAATTCTGTTTGATATTCAATGCAAATAATTTAATTTTAAATAAAAAAATTTTAAGACGTTGCCAAAACTGATAATTGTTATATTTGCAAAAAATTATTGTGCAGACATACGAATTGATGTCCTAGCTATGAATAAATGTAAATTTTCCGGCATCTGCTTATTGGATCTCCATAATCGTGTGGCATTTGCATTTGGTGTGCGGCGATTTGCATGGGGCTGTTGCTCTAGGGGTCTAGTCTGGCCCGGCGCCAGTGCCGCAATAAAATTTTCATGCGAAAAAGAAGCGAAACAATGCGACCGTCGTGAATTATTTAGCCCTAGCTCTTGTTTCATAACTTCATTCTCCACCCCGATCAGAAATACTAAATGAAAATGGAAAAAAGCACAAAATAAAATACATTTTCTTCATTTAAGCCAAGTTTCAAGATCTTTAAAAAGTATTTTGCAGTTATTCGAGAAGATAACAAAATCATTAATTTTTAGAATTTAAATTTTCGTGTCCATCCAGAATAATATAAATTCAAATTTAATTATACAAATTTACTATACTTAAATTAAAAGAAACTAAAACAAATTGACTGTATGCAAATCTCCTCTTTTAAAATTTCAGAGAGTTAAGTTTAAATGCAGGTCGAAATTTTGATTTATTTTATTATCTTTCCTTTTGAAACCGGTTGCGTAGAAAGTGCACATTACATACCTTTTGGTGACACGCAGAAAACACACGTGCACATATTTTCCCCCTTGACTTTTCGCCAGCAATTCATAAATCAAGATTCAAGCGAGGCGAGAGCGGAAAATTGAATTTTCGCTCATTTTTCGCGACACAAAGCTGGGGCGCGCACAAATCAACGCGGGCGAGTGATTTAAGTGTGCAAACCGCATTCCTGTCGCCCTTTCTCTCCACCAGGCAGCTTTTTCTCCGCTGCTGAAAGATTCAATGCAAAACAGCTTAAACCGCGCGCACAGAGACTTTTTCTCTCTCGCTCTCCAAGAAATAAAAAATTTCACTGCCGCCATTCTCGGAAGTCTGCCAAAATCGAAAATAAATTTACTCATCTGCACTTGATTGTTCGTTCGAGTCTTTCTCATTCGCCCCATCAAAAGTCAATTCTCAACCGGGCTCTTTTCCCTTTTTTCTGTCCGTCATCACCGGGAATTGAATTTTCCGCTGCGTTGGACAGGCACAGGCTCCGTCATGAATTATTTATTTGGAGGAAAAAAGAGAAAGAGGCACTTTTGAGACTCATGTGGGCCATTTTGCGACAAAACTGAGCTCTGTAAAAACCCGCATTAATCTTCTAGAATGAACCGGAAATTTTATTAAAAAAAATCAACAATATTTAAATAATTTTTATTAAATTTAATTCAAGGACGAAATTTAAATAATTCGTTCATGTGATATTTCGAGAAGTTCTGCCGCTCCTTTATTGTCAGTTCGGTAAACAAGCTATGAAAAATTAGGATCGCGCTGTCTGTGGAAGCATTCGAGGAATGCACAAGCGACGCATCCACCCGCAGCCAGATCACAACAGAACCGCTGCCTGTGTGTGTGTCTCCTGTTCTCACACACCGTCGTCCTAGCAATAAAGAGCGGGTCCCATTCTCACGAGAGGCCATTGTATGCGGTGTCCCGACCCACAGACTGTTAAGAAAATTCAACGAAATTTCCACTTTTTAATCAGGTTAATTTCCGAAATCGACTCTCGAAGCCACAGTTAGTGTTGTTTGCCAGTTTTTTTCTAGGTAGTTTTGCTGACCTGACTCTGCATCAGCACCTTGAAAAATAAAATTTGAAAATATGCAATTTTGCTCTCACTCGAATGAATGAAATGTGAGAAGTTGTTCTGTTGACCTGGTCATGAATAAAAAGATTCATAATTAATTTAATAATTTTTTTCAAGTAATATTAAATTTATAATTTAACTTATCGTCAAATTTCGCCAATTATTATTATTTTTTTTTTATTAAAATTTATCTTTTACAATGTTAGGAAAACTGAAATACTGGTGAAATACATTTTTCTTATTTCCTGCAAGATAATTTTGTATAGAAATTATAGCTTAATAAGGAAATATATGTATTTATAAATTAAAAATGTTAAATGGTTTTAGTTGAATAATTAAAAAAAAAAAAATAGTGTAATATTTTCATACAACCATTCTGTATTTTTTGTTCTCTTAAAATTGTTGTTCCAAAAATAATTTGGCTTGTCGCTGGAGCCCAACTTCCGCACGAATGAAGTTCAAAGGAGAAATTTCTTTTGTAATTTTTTCCATGCCAATAGCAGGGGTGCTTATTTTCTCGTGAAAACTTTTTTTGCCTGAAATTTCTGTCGGGATCAGAAGCAGTACAACCGCGTGTAAGTGCATTCTCCGTTTCAACGTGTTAAACAATTATTGCGGCGTGAAAAGTGACAACTGCCGGCAAAACCGTTTCGCACCTCGCGACGAGAATAAAGAACATTTTTTAAAGGTCGATTCGTTGTAGATGGAAATCGGGACACGTTTTGCGTGCAATTCTCCATATTGCATGCTGCATTTGCATATGAATGCAAGTACGATTGTAGACGAATGGCGTTTGATGCAACCAACTCGAGACAAACACGCAAAGGAAGCGCAAACAGAAAATTTATAAGACACCTTGCCGAGCCTCCCCTCGTCTGACGATGAGTAAATTTGGTCTACACGAAAAATCCATTACCAGTGTCACGGCAAAGAAAGAGTGCAATTTTAAGAGCTCAGAAAGGACACAACTTTGCTTCTCTCTTTTGTTCCAGTAGAAACTCTGATTTGTTTTTCCCTTGAAAGCGAGATCTAAAGAAACTGAGTTTAGATTGAAACCTCTAGCACAATTTTTTATTATCATTTATTAATTTAAATTGATAGAATCACTCCATTCCCAATTATTGTTAGTATTAATTTTACTGGTTATTCCTATTAAATAAAATTATAATTAAAAAAAAATAAAATGTAGATATGGGAAAAATATTCGAATAATATTAGAACAGAGTTTATATAAAAATCAGATTGTTTTTTTTTAAATCTAGGTTTATTTTTTCTTACGTCATTCTGATATCACTATTTTCGTTCATGATTTACATTTTTCCAAAGAATACAAGTCATCTTTTTCTCTGTAGAGATTTGCGTATTTTCGTTGCCGTCATTCGACACTTCTTGATTCGCGATAAGCCCGTCGTCTCCGTCGCGTCTAATTATTTCCAGCACTGCTGAACAGAGTTTTTTTCGCAGTCCTTGGATGCTGGTATCAATTTTATCCGCCGGTCGATGACTCACTCGGGCTCGTCAGCGTGGCGGATGGATGTGGGTGTGCATACGTAAAACGTCTTGTCGCACGCCAACATTACAACATACACGCTGCATTAATTATTACACGCAAACTCAACACAGCCCTTTTTGTTAAAAATTCCAAGAGCTCTTCACCTGCTCCGCTCACGCACTCGTTTTTATTTTTTATTTTTACATTTTCTTGGGCTTTTCAAGAGAGAACCGAGCCGGCTTTGCAATTGAATTTCCTCGCCGCAAGAATTTCTTTTCTAAAGTTGAAACAGTTTTGAGCCCGACAGCCAGTAGCAGAGCAAAGAAATTGCCATTACGGTATTTCGGACTTTGGCCCCGAGGCCACTCAGTGCCACCACCATTCAACGTAATTACGATGCGCCGGTCAGGTGCAATTTCAGCAAACGGTGTCATTGACCAGAGGGAATTTGAATTGCCTGGCTTTAAATTCCAAACAAAGAACACTGGAAAAAAGGAAAAAATCTGAATTTTACTTACAAATTTGTTCATAACTTAAAATTTTTACAAATGAATAATTGGTATCATCTTTTGCAATGAATTTTTGGGCATATTTTTAATGAATTTCAAATGTTATTGACGAGTTTGGAAAGTATTTTACCATCTTTACTTCTATAATATTTAAAACCAAGATCCTTTGTAAAAAAACAATTGTTAAAAAATAATAATTGAATTTTAGCGCAATTTTTTTCACAAGCTTTTACAAATTATTTTTTATTCAATCCCAAATCTGCCCAAACCATAAATTTAAAAAAGGGGCAAACCTTTATCATGTACATTTTTTTTTTAATTTTCAATTAAGTATAGAGAATTTTATAAATTTTTTCATAAGAAGCAAAAATAATCACATCTAGAACAATTATTGATCAATAAGCGTGAAAGTTTCTTATTTAGCATGCATACCTCATTCCAAAAGAACGTGAAATACAGTTTTATTTCCACCTCGGTGGGCAAGACTTGAATGTTTCCATTGTCGGCCAGCCGTGTTCATCTCAAGGGCGATGGTGAGAGGAACTGACCTGCGTTCTGAATAATTTGTTGGCTCGACTCAAACAACCAAATCAGCCAAATTGCTTTTTTCACTGCGACGCCTTAATTTGAAATTTATGCTCAAGTCGCCGGAATTGGAACTTCCGAGTGAAGTGACGTCAGAGTCTATTTACCCGTCGCCGTGTCGGCGGCAACACTGAGCAGGGGTTAAACGCGACGAGATGAAATGTTTGACATTTAACCTCGGATGTTTGATTTACGGTGTCGAAACTCTTCTGCACTCAACCTCATTACGCTAACAAAATAAACCCTTTGCTCTGAACCTTCAAGGTGGTAAATCGCATGTTATTTGCCTTGTTCCGCTTGGGAGGTTTGATTTTAACCTGCGAAGTAACTCGTTTTGTAGAAAAATACAGGAAAATTCTTTTAATTTATTTCGTTTAATGTCGAGGAAAACTTAAGTTGGGCGTTGGTATCAAATTTGGTGTAAAAAATTTTTTTTATTTCAAATTAAACAATTATATTGAATGTACTAACTCTAAAGATTGATTTCAAAAATAAAAAATAAGCATAAAAATATGATTGGCTTTCTGCTTGATTTCTATTTAGAATGTTTAGAGGTTTAACTTAATGAAAACTTAAAATGGTTTTAGTTTTTTTGAATAACGTGCCAAGAATCTTCTAATTAATAATATTAATTAATTGATTAAGGTTTTATTCAAATGTAATTAAATGAAAATCAGCTTTAGCTTGTGCAAGTTGATCTTGACAAGTCCGGTTTCATTCATTCGGCCTTATTTTCTTTCCTTTTGTGGCGAGGCTAATTCAAGTCTGCTGCTCGTTCAATGTTGATCAAAGGCTTAGTTAGTCAGGAGGAGTTGCGTGACTCTCGGTTTAAGTGGCATTTAGTACTCGATGGGCGATCGCGAATTAAGCCGGCTCCCTTCTGCGGTCTTTTGAATTTTGCCAGCGAGCCGGAATCGAGCGACGCGGCGGGCAGGCGTGATAAGATAACGGGCCAAATAAATAGTAAAATAGCAGAGTGTGTGACGCCATACTGATGATGTCTTGATTGTTGTTCGCAGGGGCTGTTGTTGGTATCACTGGGCTGCCACTAACACTCCGCAGCTATGGGCAAGCTGCTTTCCAAGATCTTCGGCAACAAAGAGATGCGAATTCTCATGCTCGGCCTCGACGCTGCCGGCAAAACCAGTATCCTTTTCCAAAACAACGCTTTCGTCGAAACCATCAGTGCACCTAAATGTTATCACAGATATTTGCTTTTGCATTCCAAGGATGGACAGTTAAAGCTTAAATTTTTCTATTTCAACACATTAAAACTATTTTTTTCTTTTAAGGCTGAAATTTACATTCTCCTTGTCACTTTTATTTTTTCTCTGCCTATAATTTTTCTGATTTTGTATTTTTACTTTCTAGTGCTGAGCTATATCAGCCAGTTGGTGCTACATTCGAGTTGATTGACCCCCTGGTGATTAACTCATGAAGTGCATAATGATAATGAAATTTCATGTGACCTCAATAAGTTCTAATTTCCTGACTGACAGTCTGTCCATTAATCAACCGCTGCAATTTTCGATTGGCCAACACCCTTATTTGATTTACTGATAAAATGTCACTAGTTTTTTGTAATTATCTTCCTTGACCTGCAAATCAGCTATTTTGTACAAATTGAAGCTGGGCCAGTCCGTGACGACGATACCCACTGTTGGGTTCAACGTTGAGACAGTCACTTATAAAAACGTCAAATTCAATGTTTGGGTGAGAATTCATTCACTTGGCTAAACTTAACAAGACTTTTTTGTGTAACATTTCTTTTATTGCAGGACGTGGGTGGGCAAGATAAAATCCGACCTCTGTGGCGCCACTACTACACGGGAACGCAGGGGCTCATTTTCGTAGTCGACTGTGCGGACAGAGATCGCATCGACGAAGCCAGGCAAGAGCTGCACAGGATCATCAATGACAGGGAAATGAGAGATGCCATCATTCTAATATTTGCCAACAAACAAGACCTACCAGATGGTGCGTTATCTAGTCCAGTTGCATTTCTTGGGATTAAAACATCAATCTTTAGAAATTTGCTGCCTCACGTTAAAAAAAATTCCCCCATTTTATTTCATATAAAAGAAATCCTTGTGTCTGTAAATGAAATATAAACAAGTTTTTTTTTTAAATTTCACACGATTGAAAGTGATTGCTCATCACTAAGTTTTTTCCTTCTTTAATGTTTTTTTTTATCTAATATCACAAAATGACATTGAGTTTGTAAAGAGCAAATAAGAATTTCCTAATAAAATCCTTGACCTCCAGTTTGATAAGAATCCAATTTTCCTCCACTCGAAGCTACAAAAAACAAAAAGCTTTCAAGCTAAAGAGCATTGAAGAGAAATTTTATCTTCTTAATAATTAAATAACTGCAGCTCTTTCAACTCAATTTTTCTTCTCACTTTTCTATCTGCTGTGTATCCTTTGAGGGCTTTTTTAAATTGCTATTCAATTTGAATATTGGTGATATTTTTTTTGTATTTTTTTTTTGTGTTTTATTTTTTTACAAATGTATTGTTTTGCAGCCATGAAACCGTATGAAATCCAGGAGAAACTTGGTTTGACGAGGATACGTGACCGAAATTGGTATGTGCAGCCATCGTGTGCCACCACTGGTGATGGACTTTACGAGGGCCTCACGTGGCTTACGTCGAACCACAAATTATGAGAAGGGACCTAATCCCCACTTGAGTAAGGAGACACACACGCACTGGGTGTTGTCGTCGCCTCTCGGCCTTGGTCTGCCTGCCAGCCAGCTCTCTTCCAGCATTGACAAGCTGTCGAGAGACCGTGATGACACCTGCAAGTGGGGATTAAGAGGCTCCAGTCCGAAAAGTCTGCAAAATTGAAAGAGAGAGACTCCTGTGCGAGATGTCCAGAACTTGTACTCTGTGTGCGTGGTAGCGTGTAAAAAATTGTGTGGATGCTTTCAGTGAGATTTTAATGAATCATGTAACTACTACATATTATAATTAGATGGATGCATAAAATTGTACAGTTTAATTACTAGTTTTACTCTGGATAATGTGCTGTACATTATTATTATTACACAACAGCAAGCGCGACACTTTTGTTAGCTTCTTAGTTAACAAATTCTGCTAAAAAAATGCATTAGCAAACATAACTATAGATTTCACATTCTAGAGTTGTGAGAGAAAAAAAGAGAATGCAAAATTAGAAATAATTATGCAGCTTTAGTGACATTGCCAAAAGCTGATATCGACGGGCTGCGGAAATTACTCATTGTGTCTGGGCCAGTTCAGCTTGTACCTCGCATTTTGAAACTGGCCGTGTTGTTAAAAGTGTCAATAGACTGCAAAGATTTTTCCGTCTCATAACTTCCTTTTTGACATAGGAAATTTAATAATTGAATTACAGCCCGCAGATCCTCAGCCCTGATTATTGCTCTAATTCCAAAGTATGAAAAATGAAACATAATTTTTTGAAATGATTGTGTCACCTGTATTGTTGAGAAAAGCCTATTGAAAGAAACTTGTTACTTTCCATTGCTAATGATGTGATAGCTAAAATATAATTAATGTGACCGAAATAAGAAAGAAAGAAAGAGCAGTAGCTTTGGAAAAAAGAAACTCGTACGCCATGGTGTAACTAATTAAATGCTTCATACTAATTAACTAATTGATGCAAATTGTGCACGGGGACAAAAAGAATAAAATATGTGATTGCCTAAAGCAATGATTTAACTTAAGCTGCAAAGAATTTAAAAAAAGTAAATTGTGGCAATATGACAAAAATAGATAAATTTTGGAAATAGTGCAAAATTTCTGCTAAGCAAGCTTACTCAAGTGTATGAGAATTCTCTTCACATTGTTTCCAGTCTCTCTGGCTATCATTTTTATTTGCACAGCTCTCATTTGGGCACTGCAGTGGACGAGTAAATGAGTGTCTCTATGGTAGTTTTTTCTTGGCCTATTGAAATTATTATACTTGTTTGGTTAAACATTGTTGTTGAAAGGTTTCGAACTCAAACAACCTTCAAGGGTTCGCTATTCCAATTGACATATTTATAAAAAAAGAAACATAACAATAAACAATATTTCATTTTTTAATGAATTCGAATGTTTGTAGTGATTTCATTAAAAAATCCATTCATCCTCAATTTGTTTATGGCAATTTAATTGTTCCTCGAGGTTCTTAATTTCAATAATTTCGTTCATGTTTGTTTCTCCATTTCCCCAATGAAAGTTCCCAAAAGCCAATTAGCCTCAAAACAAGCTATGGAGATTTCCACTGTCACTTTTAGCGCCGCCGGTAATTAATTGGATAATCTGTGCGTGCGAAGAGCGAGTTGAGAAATTGGGATCACTTGCTGGGGGGCCTCCACTTTTATTTTCTGAATCGAATCAAACTGAGAATAATAAAATCTCCCGTGTGTGTGCTTTCTCAATCAGATGCAAAGTAAAAGTTGCGAGGCAAATATTTGGCACCAGCGACTGCATTGTTGGCTGCGCACAAGTGAGATTTATTTTCGCAAACGCCCTGTGGCAACAGGCACGGAAGAATTGAATAAAATCTGTTGTTCGATGGACCATCGCTCGCTCTCTTTTGATTCTGACGCAGCGCATCTCTCGCACTCACTTGGGAGCTTTCTCAATGGGCGAATGGCACCAAAATACACGGAATGAAAGAGATGGGTGAGGAGATGAGTCAGCCAGCAATAGATTAGAAAGCGATTTGCAAAGCACCTGTGTGCTTCCAAGTAATTTCGATATTGGCAGAATAAGTAAATTTTCAATATTTATAATTGTTAGTTTAAATTATTTTTATTTTTTTTTTATTCGCTTTTAAAAGCCAATATAGGCCATTTTTAACAACACAGAATTTTAAAAAATGCGAAAAGTATCAAATTTATTAAATAATTTAGAAGTGAAGAAATAGATTGCATAAAACAAAATGATGCATGCAATATTTAAATAAATAAATAAAATAGTTCAAATTAATTTTTTTTTATATATATATAATGATTTATCATACTTTAGATTAAAAAAGTTCTTTTAATAAGGAAAAATAATGAAGCGTTTTACGTCAGATATTGCTTAAAAAAACTGATAAAAATAATGTACCAAAAAATTTTTTTGTATCTCTCACCCTTTAATTATTAGCTATTTAGCTCTGTATTTTTTCGCAAACGTTTTTATGTCATGAATCATTGGCGTGAGAAGATTGGTTGGTCGCTGATTAAAAATCACCAACTCGCGGGTTTCGATTTTCAATCAACCACTTAATCCCGGTGACCCTTAACAGGCGAACCGGCACACAACAGTAGAAATTGCGAAATCGCTCTTTGCAAGGATATTCGCAGTCATCGCAGGTGTGGAAATTCAGAGAGAGAGAACAAATTAACGGCGCGGGGTCACGTTTGTTGGCCGCAGCACCTAAAAATCTGCTGGTTTTCTTGTGCAGAAAAATGTTCGGTTAAATGCAACGATCAATGCAATAAAAAAGCTGCTCGACGGTCTCACGCAAATCAAGCGCTCAAGCGTGCAGTGTTCTTCCACTAATCGCGCCGCAGATGCAACGCACAAATTGACTCGCGTGAAATTCGATTACCTAATTTGACTGCGCGAACCATCGCACGTTATTTGGCTTTTCAAAAGTCAAAAGAAGTGTTGATCTCGTCCTGCGGCAAGTTTCCTCCTTTTCACGCGCGCGCTCTGTCGATTTTCTTTCTCATCTTTTGGCGCTCCAGCTCAATTTTGGGGTCACTCAATTAATCAGCATGACGCGAAAGTCATTCCATTATTTAGCAGCGGCTAATGAGCGGTAAAAAATGTTGGCGGATGAGAGTGGGATTCGTTGAAGGGTTTTTTATGTCCAAGGGGATCTTGCTTGACCAGCAACACGAAAATGGGAGTAAAAGAGAGATTGCTTTGCTTTATTTTTTGACTAGATTTTTTCAGTTCTAAAATATTTTCTCAGTCTGCATCATCAAACACCTTCAAAAAGTAATTCTTCGAATCACAATAGTAGTGAATAATAGGATATAAAACAGAACTTCATGAATATAAACACAAAACTTAAATCTCTCTTCCAAATTATTAACCTTATTGCGGACAGATGATTTTTCACGTTTTCATATTTTTACAATCGAACCGAACTGAACCGAACCAACACAAAATAAATAACTTTTATATACGAATAGGGAATTTAAATTTCTTTTTATTTATGGTTGGTAGTTTTTTTTATTGGAAGATAAAAAAGTTCTAATTAATAATAAAATATATTAATTGATAGGACCAATTAGGTACTAATAAAACAGACAGACATAGTCTTCATAGTACTATTATAATTTTTATATTTGTATAGCGTGTAACAGTACAAAACTCATTAATTTATTATTTATACATTTATATAATGTGAAAAATTTTAAAACTTGAAACAACTTGAAAGATTTAAGAAAAAATACAATAACAGTAGAGATATTTAATTAAAATTAGAATAAATAATTGTTACAATAAAAAAGCGCGTCAAGAAATGATCTCCTTATCAATATATGTAACGTCGCTCTTGTATATGTATGGTGCTGTTTAATAAATTCAATAAAAAATATAAGCGATAGTAACAAAAAAAAAAATGATTATGAATAATAAAGCATAAAATGTTTTTATATTCTAAATAATAATAACGATAGGAAATTTTATTGCTATTAAAATGTTGTATTTATGTATTTTAGTTAAAATAATATCATTTTTTCAGCTGTCAAACAAGTGCAAAATCTCAGCGCCGCGCGTCAAAACAAACACGTTTGCAAAATAACTACATCAAGGGCAACGTCCTCCTGCACTAACCAATTCACGCGTTTGCAGTGCAAACGAAATTCCTCTCTACAGCTGCAAAAACTCCCACACGCAGAAAGAAACCTTACGCAAATAAATTAAAGTGAAAATATGCACATTAGAGGGATGTATCTTCCAGAAAGCTATATAACTTGTGTTCGCCCTTTTTCAACAGGGATAATAAGTCTGTGATTTTCCTTGTCCTGCTCTGGCCCTGCTGTCATGAGAGTTCTTACTCTTTATCAATACCATGAATATAAAGTAGCACCAAAAATTGAGATCCAGTATAAGTTGCTTTAAATTATTTGGCAATATACGGATTTTCGATTTGGCTAGTTGGACGATAGCATAAGTGATTAAAAAAATAAATTTCTTAACTCTGGCACAATGTTGAAGCCTAATTTACAGGGGCATCCGGGCACCACTGCATTTGAAGTTACAGATGAACAGCGCAATAAATTTGAGACCTGCCTCCCGCAATAATTATAATTTATCGCTTACACGTTTCTCGCGATCGAGAGAGACTGTTTGATCGAAGGTCACTCTCGCAACCTAGGGCCACGCAGTTTTTTCTTCTCGCTCGCAGCTGGATCACTCACTCTCATTAGCACATAAATTTTATTCATTCGAGACGCCCACTTTCATTCGACGACTTTCACTGCCAAGTTCACTCGCAGTCGGTTTCCAAGCTGCGGGCCGTCTGGATGGATCTGTGAATTTTTTTAAGCCGGTGCCTTTAATTTCTTCTCACACCGCGCGCGGCTACTTTGTCTGCCTGTATTTTATTTTTGAACCATCGAAGTTGCGCTTTTATTGCTGCTTAAGTGCTCGTTAATTGGCGGCGGCGATTTGCTCGGAAATTGCTTCACTTGACTTATGACCTGCTTACTGTTAAAGAAGAAGAAATCCAAAAACTCATACAGGAATGTAACGAGCTAATTTAAAGTACAGTTATGATTATTTTTAAAATCTTACTTCTGAAACTTCACTTACATCAAAGAGGATTGTGCCGTGTAAAATTTCAGCGGAAATGAAATTAACGTTAGTATCGTATTGATCAATTTGATCATAAATTTGATGTTATTATTGAAATTAAACCAAACCATTTCAAAACATCACAAAACATATTAAGAAAACGCGTTGTTAATACAATCTTAATATGAAATAAAGAAAAGCAAAAAATTTATTTATTTTCTCCGCCTATTTGTATTAGTATTTATTTTATCGAACGGTAAAAGAGAAAAGAATATATCATTTTTTGCAGACTTGACCACTCTCTAAAATACAAGAACATTTGTCAGCCCTCTTTCTTGCAAACTAATTAAAAACCGAAGAGAGATGGATGGCCCAAAACTGTCATCTTTTCGCAAAAAAGTAGAAGTAGCAAAAGGTGTTCTGTTTCGCGACAACTCTCACTCTTGAACGCGCGCGGCGTATTATGCAAAGCAGTTGATTGAAAAATGCTGTATCGAGAGAAAGAAAAAAAGCAGAGGAGAAATCATGGGACTTTTCAATCCTCGTCGGCAGAGACGATAAAAGTATAAACGCTCTTTTTCCTGTGAACGCGGTATGCAAATTATTTTTTGCCTCGCCGCCCCGCCGATTAATGCCAATAATCTCGCAGATCGCATGGGAATGCACGACGCAGGCAGACCTAACAAACGGTTTGTCTTTCAAGAATCGCAACGTTGTAAAACTCTCACTTGTTGGCATGTGCGTTGAAAAAAATGAATAAATAAAAGCAAAAATTTTTATTTTGCCCTGCTAAGAGTTTTTACTATGTTATTAAATATAATTATTTTCAAATTACTTTAAAATATTATATTCTTAAAATTTATACAGCTATTTACTTTTATTTTTAATAAATTAAATTTTGTTCGATTCTTAGACAATTTTCTGATTTTCATAAATGAATTCTCTGTTTTACAACGAAAAAAGACTTATCATAAAAAATTTGAGAATATTTTTATTCATATCTAATACTGTTAAAATTCCATAATTATAAAAATACAACATTTCTTCCATTCCATGTTTATGGTCCAGTTACTCCAGCCAGTTCACAGTTTACCCACAGGTCTTTAACAAAGGTATCCATGCAACTGATCTCTGAACCTCTAAAACTGTTCAAAAAATATGCGTTAGAGGTGCGAAGCGAATCAGCAAACAACACGCATTATTTTCCCAAGATATACGTGGGTGATTCGTTCCTATCTCAATTTCCAGCTCTCGTCTTTCTTCTTGTTTCGCGATTTGGCACGTCCTTGAGAAGACATATTA